GACTGCTTTCCCCATCTGCTTCTTAAATGTTAAGGTTCTCCATGCCCCATCTGCAAAACTCCGCTCTTCTTAATGTACCTCCTCCCTGGACAAGGTCACTGTCAGTGAACTAAGACTCCCAAGCACTTACCCTCCTTGGAGCCAACTCACTGCGCAGAGAGCATCTCTGGGACTGTGCCATAAGCACCTCAAAGTCCACAACCTGACTCTCTCCTCCTTCCTAAACCAGCTCCTCCTCCCAGGTGAGGCATCTGTAACCAACCAGTTACCGAAGCCTAACCTGGATGCATCCCACACTCCTCTTGCTCTCTTGCGTCCTTTCTAATGCATCAAGGCGCTGACTGTGCCTGCTAATTATTTCTACTCTCCGTCCCAATGCCTCTGTCCTGCTTCAGCCCCTAAACACTACCAAGAGAGCTTTTTATCTACTTCCTGCCTGAAGTCTCACCCTCCCTAACCAATTCAGCTCCCCGGGGCTGCAGGTGATGTTTTTAACAGCTGTACCTGATCACAGATTCTCTGGCTAAAAACTCCAACACCCCCGCCCCCATCACGGGATAAAATATAAACTCCTTTCTGCAGCATACGGGCCCCTTGAAGATCCTGCCCCGCTTAGTGGTGCAGCCTCTTTTCCAGATTCTTGGGGCTTTGCTCCCCCACAGTACCGACCTACTTGTTCCCAGAATGCTCCACACTCTCCTGTCCCCCAGCTTTTGCACAAGCACTTTCCTGTGTTGTCGCCTCCATTGTCCACTCAGATGCTATGTCTGCTGAGACAATCCCCAGGGGAACAAACCAACTCCCACCACCAAACATTAAACAAACGCACCCCTCCAATAACAAGGTGGTTATGGGCGCCTCAGGCCTCCGAGGGCCGTGTGTTACGCATAGCAGCATCCCCAGCACCCAGCAGAGCCCAATACAAGAGGATAAAGGTTTATCCTCTGAATCTCAATTCCTCATCGGTAACACGGACAATAACCCCTACCCTCAGGACTGTCGTGGAGCTTACAGGAAACACACGTAAGTCCAGCCAGAATAAACATACACAAAGGAAAAAGGGCTTGTCTTGACATTAAAGACGGCAGCCAGATAGAGAACTTTCTCAGCCCCAAAGAGACGCTAAGAGGCTGCGCATCTCGAACGACTGAATCTCCTTAGGTCTACCCGTTCCTATGTCTAACCGGGGTGAACGGCAGCTCTCTCTTGGGGTCGGAAGGAGGATTAACAATGGCTGAAATGCTTTTACCGTGCTTGGCAGGAAAGAAAAGCGTAACAAACGTTAGCCATTACATCGTTAATGATGTTCCTGTACTAGGACCAGGGAGGAGGGGGGCAGTGGGCGGAGCAGGCGCCCAGGCTCGGGGCCGCAGCGCCGGCGGATTCCCGGGCCCCTCTCAGGCGACCCTCCCCCGCTGCCGGCCTCCCCGCGGCCATCTGCCCGCCGCCGGCCGCAGAAGAAAGGCCCAGGGAGGGGAGGCGAGGCCTCACGTGCGGCGTGGAGCCCGCCGAGCGGCGGCCCGGCTACTCACTGAGCCACAGCTCCAGCGCCGCCGCCGGCGCCCGGGGCCCCTCGGCCGACTCGGCCCCCGCCGCGGGCCCGGCGCCCGCCGCCACCGCCGTCGCCGCCGCCATGGGCCCAACCCCGCTGCTGAGCCCGCGGCCGCCGCTGCCCTCTAGCCGCCGCCGCCGCCGCCGCCGCCGCCTGGCGCGCTCCGGGGATGCCGACGCGGCAGGCGCGGGTCGGCACGTGACGGGGCGGGGCCCGGCGAGGCCACGCCCACGAGGCCCGCCTCCGCGCTGCCCCACCGAGAGCCAAGCGCCCGACTGGAGGGTCCCGACCTCGCCTGGTTTTCTTCCTTCCACATCCAGGCAAAGCCCGTCAAGCCAACCTCCCAAGGCCTGCGCCCTCTCATCCCTCAGAAGAAGATTAGCCAGATAAAATACAGGGTGCCCGGTGAAATTGGAATTTCAGATAACGAAAACTTCTTTTAGCTTTTTATCCATGAGGGTCTTCCCCGACCACTTCCTCTAAAATGACACGCCCCGCTTCCCTCCATACTCTGTTTTCTCTCTAACACGCTACACCATTGACGTACCAGATATTTACTTATTTTGTTAAAGGGCAAAATCCCCGCGAAAAAAGACATGATTCACATACATTATGAAATGAACAACGTGTTAAATATTTTTTTAATTCGTTAAATGAGGAAACCATGCAGGCGTTATAATTCGTTCGAAAGAAGTCCAAAAAAGGGCAAATTTATACAGAATAAAGGAATGTCGGAACAGATGGTGCAGATGGACTCAAAACTAGCTTGCTACCAGCGGGAGGGTGTTCCATCCTGCAGACAGCATTAACCTGCATGTCTATAGGCACGAATTATTTGTATTGCTATCAGTTATCTACAACTAACAGAGTTGTAAGACATCTCTGAGAATGAAAGCTAGGAAGTGGAAAGGTGTGCCCCTGTCTAGACAATGCGTAATTTTCTTTTGAAGCACAAATTCTTCTCTATGCTCCATTACTGTTTTACCCCACTAATATAAGCAGGGACTTCGCTTTGTACACTTCTCTACCCCCAGTACCTAGAATAGTGCCTGGCACACCAGTGCCAATCAATATTTGCTGAATGGCCCAATCAACAGTGCAAGCAACAAGAGGTAGCTACGGGACTTAAGGTCCCATCCCTACGGCAAATACACAATCTAAGTTAAAAAGTACTTTTACAGTACTAGCTCAGCTCCAAAATAGGTCCACACACATTTCCATCTGACAAATTGCTGCCACAGCTCCCTTCTACATGGAAATGATGATGAAACTGCCCTAGCTCCCCTCAGCTTTCCATTTCCTTCCTTATGTCATGCGGATGGCCCATGGTCTGTTTCCCCTTTCTGGACAATGAGCTTTCCTAGGCAGGGGCCATGTTTAATTCATCAACCTTCTGGCACTTCATAGGCACAAAATGATCATTGGTGGAACTGGAGTTCTCTGGCACTTCCTACCAAGCTTTAAGCACCAGACGGGAGCTGGAATGCCTTCTTTCCCCATTGCTTACCTTTGCATGTTCTGTTCCCTCAGCCAGGAATGTCCTCCCTCTGTTGTCTGTCAAACTACCTCAGAGTTGGGCTGCCAAGTTTGGTCAATAAAAATACAGAGAGCCCAATTAAATCTGAACTTCAGACAAACAATGAATAATTTTTTAGCACAAGTATGTCGCAAATATTGCCTGGGACATACTTATACTCAAAAATTACTTGCTGTTTATCTGAAATTAAAATTAAAAAGAAACAACCCAAATCCTCCTCGAGAAAGTGTTCCCCAACTGGCTTCCCCCTACCGCAGGATAGCCATCTCCCTGTATCATTTCGCCTGCCCCTCCACCCCCCTCCACACTTGCATAATTATACTTGTTAGTCTCCCATGAGACTGTGATCCCTTTGAGGCAGGAGCCTTATCTTTTGTTCATTTGTTGTTTGTTTTTTGTTTTTTTCAGGAAGGTTAGCCCTGAGCTAACATCTGCTCCCAATCCTCCTCTTTTTGCTGAGGAAGACTGGCCCCGAGCTAACATCCGTGCCCATCTTCCTCTATATGTGGGACGCCTACCACAGCATGGCTTGCCAAGCGGTGCCATGTCCGCACCCAGGATCCAAACTGGCGAACCCCAGGCCGCCGAAGCAGAACGTGCGAACTTAACTGCTGCGCCACCAGGCCAGCCCCTTGTTTGTTTATTTTTAAAAGCTTAACAAATGCAGTAAGTAAATAGGGGTGACAAACATTTGTGAACTAAGCACTCACACTTAATGAGGCTTTGTCTTATTCCTCTCTGCACCCCCAGGCCTAACAGGGCCTGGCACACAGTAGGTGTTTGTCAAATGAATGAATGAAGACAGGATTGAATGGACTCCTGCAAGAGGGGTTTTCAAGATAGAGAAGGCCTTCCTTCAGCAGCTGGGCTGTCCTGCTGCAGTCAGGATGGGGGTGACCGGGTAGGCAGCAGAGCCGAGGGGACTCTGGCCTGGAGGGAAAGGTTGTGACCCTAACATTTTGCCAAGCTCTGAAGGATAAGGTGGAGATGCCCGGGGCATCATGAGCATGAGTGCCAAGCCACATTTATACTGCCTTCTAAATTAAAAAACATTCCTATCCTGTGATCCACTAATGAAAATAGTAACCACAAATGATGTGAAGGTCCTGAACGCTGCAAAGCAGTATCTTAACTAAACACAGGGACTTTGGCAAAGCCAGCACCTGTGCACTTGACTGCTCACCCTGACCATCCAATTCAATCAGTTGTGCGTCTGGTCTTTCATGCAACAATATTTATTGAGCACCTACTATGTGAACAGGCACCGTTTCCAGTACTGGTGGTACAGCAGTGAACCAGACAGATGACGTCCGTGTTCTCATGGGCTTTACAATCTGACAGTAACAAATAGCTGCAGAACTAATTACCCACACCGTTATTTACACAATCAACTCCAGTTGGGTGCTATGGAAAAGAATAGGATGCTGATGATTAATCACAGAGGAAGGCGATCTTCTGGGAGGAAGCTACAGACTCCCCTGAGCTGAGAGTGGAGCTGAGATCTGAAGGCTAAGAAAAAAGTGACTACGCAAAGGGGGAGAAAAGCGGGTGGACGAGAGTATTCCAGACAGAGAAAGCAATGCAAAGGCAGGAAGGAACCCAATGTGCCCAGAGACCTAAGGAAGGCTTATGAGGCTGGAGACCAGAGAAGGCATGTATATGGCAGGAATGGGTGAAGCTCAGCTGGAAAGGTAGACTAGAGTCAGGCCATGGTGAGGAAACAAGGCTTATCATGACAACAGCCCTCCTTCATGCCTCATTTTTCAATCATCTCTTCCCAGGGCTCCTTGCTTCTGAGCTGGCCCTGTTCAAATCTCTCTTCAGCATAATGTTGGAGAGGATGAAATTCCCCTCTTCACCACTCTTGAGTTCTTATGGCTGGGCTAATAATAAAATTGACACAAGACCAGGTTAACAGGATAAAAACCAATTTAATACATGTGCATGAGAGATCATAGAAAGATGATGCTCAGAGAGTGAAAAATGCAGGCAGTTTACATACCTTTGTGTACAAAGAAACAATAAATTTGGGAGGAATTGATAGGACAAAGAAACTTAGGTTTGGGGTACGTAATTAGCGAGGAATTTACACAGAGTTTAGGCTTGAGTAGCAAATTAGTAAAAGTAACAAGATTTGTTTATAAAGGCTTCTAGGCCCTGAATTCCCCAACTCTGGTGATAAGAATGCGGGGAGAGGAGCCAGCCCGGTGGCTTAGTAGTTAAGTTTGCATGCTTCACTTCAGCAGCCCAGGGTTTACAGGTTCAAATCCTGGGCATGGACCTACACACTGCTCATTAAGCCAAGCCATGGCAGTGTCCCACATACAAAATAGAGGAAGATGGCACAGATGTTAGCCCAGGGCTAATCTTCCTCACAAAAAGAAAAGAAAACAAAGAATGCAGGGAGAGCATCTTTCACATGGGAAATTTATTTCCTGCATTCAGAGAGACAAAGGAGGGTCAAAGTGCCCTTCTTGTACTGGCTGCTTCTCAAGTGACTTTAATTCAAAATAATCAATATGCCATTGTGGAATATTTTAGGGCAGCCTGTCATGAGCCCCAATAATAGCTGCCAGGATGATCTTTAATAAAAACACAAATCTGATGTCACTTCCCTGCTTAAAACGTTTCAACAGCTCCTCACTTTCCACTTTGTGAAGACCCAACTCACGTCTTCACTAACCGAATCCCCATTTTTCTCAGGTACCCACCACTCCCCAGTCCAGCCATGCACCTCAGGGAAGAGCTGGTCCTGCACCCAGCTCTGAGTCTGACTGATCTATGGGGACTCCCCTCCCACTTCCCAGTAGTGATGGGTTCAAGAATGCGGAAGTCAAGTGGAGGAGGGTGCTGGAGAAAAGTGTCCTTGCTTTTAGGGAAAGAGCCACAGAAAGCCACCCTCTTTCAAACCAGACATGAAGGAGGAAGTGCAGAGAGTCCAACTGCTTTAGGCAGCCAGTTGTGAGCAGAGGGAACCAACCCAAGGCTGTTGCAGACGCTGGGGCCGGTGGAGCAGAGCAATGGAAAGACCCTGAGTCCTCGCGGCTGTCACTGAATGCTCAACTAACCAACCCTAGAGCCTGCCCTTCCCCTGAACTTCCTGTTATGCAGGAGACTGAATCTTCTTGTTTAAGCTGGATTGAATCTGGAGTTTTCATTATTTGCATCAGACAGCAGCCTGATACCCTTAACCTGGCAAAGAAGGGCCAGTGGGATCTCCCCTCTGCTGGTTTCTCAGCCACTTCTCTCACTCCCTCAACTCCCATCCTTGGTTCCAATCATGCCAAACTTTGTGAAGTTCCCTTTTCTTCTCTCTGCTTGAAATATTCTTCCAAACGCCCCCCAGACCTGGCAAACTCCTATTCATCCCTCAGAGTCCAGTTCAAGTCATTTCATCTGTAAAGCCCTCTGAAACTAATGAACAGATTAAAAGCTTCCCTCTCTGGTCCCTGCTACCACCCGGAGGATCCTCATTTTCTAAGTATGCATTATCATGGTCCCAGGAAGGTAGGAATTCTGTCATAAGACAAAAATATTAACTGATGAATAGGTAACTTCTAACTTTAGTCCCCACTAAATATCCCTGTATAATGTACTATTCCATCTGTCCCCATCCTTCATTCCAAAGTCTTTGTCAAATGTCAGTCTCTCAGATAGCTGGATTCAATGCAAATTACAGGCAAAGGACCAGCCTGCAAACTACAATTGCAAATCTTGCAAGAGAGACAAGATTTCCCAGAGACAATGAAAGTGAAACTGGGAAACTGCTGGAATCTGGCAGAGTTAGACCAGCGGATGATTGCCACTTCTGAAAAAAGTGATCCGACTGATGAGGCCCTCAAACATTTTTTTCATCGCGAGATCTTTACTTGATTCCCCACTATGTGTCAGGCAATATCCCACTGCTATAGTTATAACCAAGAATAAGAAAAACTTCCTGCCTGTCTTAATCTTATATTCTTTAGAGTAAGGTAGACCATAAACATGCACAAAGACACTATATAATTTCAGAGAGTAATAAATACTATGAAAAAAACCCAAGTAGGATAAAGGTAATAGGAATGAGATTCCAAATTTGGCTATAGAAAAATGGTAATTTTCTGGAACGGATACTCTCTAAATAAAATTGAAAGAGAACCTGCTCAGAAGGAACTGCTCTCCCCACTCACTAGAGTGGGTCCCCTGCAGCCACGATCCTATTACATGACTCTGTCCCACTGGCCACAGTTGATTGGAACGGGGGTCGACAGCTGACCCAACCTAGGTCAATGAGATTCTCCCTTGGGAATTTGGACACGGACTACTAGTTACTTAACTGGTAGCGTAGAAGAAAGATGATTCAGTTGTTGGCCAAGTGAGGAGATAAAACAGAAAGCCAGCCTGCAGAGGGAAGATGACGTGAGCAGACACACAGAAGGACAAATGTTAGAACTGTGTGGTCTGGCAGGAACAACAGTAGCTGCCTTGGGTCCTAATGGGTTTCCAGGTACAGATTCTAGTCTCTTATGAGGTTCCAGCTGCAAGTCCTGCTCTTCGGATCTGTGAGAGTCCTAATTCCTCCAATAAATTCCTTTCATGGTTTAAATCAATCTGAGTATGTTTCTATGCTTTGCAACCAAGATCACCGTCTCTAAGAATAAAAATAATGGTAATGATCATGACGGTAATAGCTAACATTTGTTAAGTGCCAGGCACTGTTTCAAGAGCTTTACATATGTCATCTATTTCAATCCTTACAACTCTGTGAGACAGGTACAATTGTTATCCCCATTTTACAGAAGAGGAAACTGAGGTACAGAAGTCACACAGTAAATGGCAGAAACGGGTTTGAGTCCAGACAATCTGCCTCCATGGCCTTTACCACTTCACTATACTCTCAAAAACACTGGGGGATGGACTTGAGGTTATTTTACGTGGGCATCCCTTCATACTCTCCCACTGGTCCTGAGCAAAAACCCCCAATCCAAAAGATACGGGCTGCTTCTTAGCTCACTCCAACTGAGGAAGCGGCAGCGACTTTATCAACTCAGCATTTCGATTACTCATTTGCTTAAAACATTCACATTCCCTGATGAGCCAGTTTCTTGTAACCAGCCTTAATGTCCTAGAAGCAGATGCCACTCAGTAGTTGAGAGTTGAGCCTGGACTCTAGATTGCTGTAAGGCTGAGTCTGAATCCTCCCTTTGCCTCATACTATAACCGCAGAAGAGTTCATTAACTTTTTTGAGCCTCGGTTTCCCTATCTATAACACAGAAACAATAATAATACCACCTCTCGTGGGGTTGTAAAGATTTAATGAGATGATGGGCTGAAGTGTGTACCAACGTAATCTGAGACCCAGGAGTGGTTGAGGCTCATGTAACTGTGCAATAGATTGCAAGTATTGTTATTCTGTGTCATTTTCTGTGGTCAACACCTCGTTTCTGCCGTTACCCCTTCTTCTAGAAAAAGCTCCCTAATTTTCCGTGGGAACACTCCATTGGATATAATCCCTGAGGGACTACCTATTCCTGGCCAAGGAAGGGCAACATGACCTCAGTTGGCCCAACCAGACACTCTCTTCTTAGAATCTGAATCTTTTCAGCTGAGTCATCCAAAACTGAAGGGGAAACACAAACAGAGAACCAAACAACAAAAGCAGTTGGAGCCCACGTCCCTACTGAAGAATGCAGGCAAGACTGGCCATTAGCTCCTGCTGCCTGCATAACCAGAGCTTCCCCAGTTCTGTCTTTTCCGAGACCTGGTTCTTTGGCTTTCTCATAGATTCACTGACTCTGCCATGAACTTAAACTCGCCATAAACTTATAGTCTCCAATAAACTTAAGCTGGGCAGAGTTGGTTCCTATTGCTTGCAATCAAAGAACTTTATCTGATGTCCCATTCAAGCAAGGACTAGGACTCTATGAGGCTCAACAAACTCTTAATCCACTTTCCCTTCTCCCTTGGCAAGGAAAGTGTGTTAGCTATCTATTGCTGGGTAACAAATTATCCCCAAAGTGGTTTTAAACAATAAACATTTATTATCTCATAATCTGTGTGTATCTGAAATTCAGGAGCAGCTTTGCTGAGTGGTTCTGGCTCAGGATCTTTCATGAAGGTCGTAGTCAAGATGTCAGCCAAAGTTGCAGTCATCTGAATGCTTGACTGGGGCTGGAAGATCAGCTTCCAAAATGGCTCACTTGCTTGTCTCATGTGGTAGGAGGCCCTCAGTTCCTTGTCACATGGACCTCTCCATAGAGCTGCTTGAGCATCCTCATAATGTGGAAGCTGGCTTCCCACAAAGTAAGGGATTCAAGAGAACAAGATGGAAGCCATGATGCATCACTAGTCAGCCCTATTCAATGTGAATAGCAGGAGATAGGGATGACTGGGGGCCGTCCTAGAGGCCGGCTGCCGCACGGGGCCTAGGAGCCTTGCAGAGGGTTTCTCTAGCCAGCTACCTTTCGCTTTAGTTATTCCTACTCACCCCAAGAACATCATCTCATTCAGAAACCTGCAGACAATGACTTACAAATAATGGGCAGAAGAAGGACACGAATAAGAAGAAAAAGATGCAGAATAGGCAGGGTGAAGGTCTCCAGCCCAAGCACCAGGTGTGGAAAACTGAAAAAGAGGAAGAGACAACCTTTAGAGAAGGGAGACACAGGCTGCCCCAGGTCGAAGGACAAAGTGTACTACAAAACATAAGCGCTCACCAGCGGCAGATGAGTAACTTCTCCCCTCACAATCCCAAAGAAAGTCTGACATCCAGTTCAGCCTTGCCTGTGTCAACCATCCTTTATTGCTCCAAATCCACCCTGGGCCTGAGAACTGGTATCCATGAGCCCAGGTTGCTGCCAAGCTCTTACAGGCTGAATTGTGTCCCCTCAAAACTCCCATGTTGAAGCCATAACCCCCGGACCTCAGAATGTGACTGTATTTGCAGACAGGGCCTTTAAAGAGGTGGTCGAGTTAAAATGAGGCTGTCATGGTGGGCCCTAATCCAATCTGACTGGAGTCCTTTTAAGAAGAGGACATTTGGACACCTAGAGATACCAAGGGCACGCATAGAGGAAAGACCATGTGAGGACACAGCAAGAGGGCCACCATCTGTAAGCCAAGGAGAGAGACCTCAGGAGAAATGAAAACTGCCAACACCTCATCTTGAACTTCCAGCCTCCAGGACTGTTAAGAGAACAATTTTCTGTTGTTGAAGCCACCAGTCTGTGGTCTCTTGTTATGGCAGCACAAGCTGACTAAAACACAAGCCCTCTGGACTATTCTGTGACCCAGCTCCCAACCTCTGCTGTGTAATGTGGTGTCACAACCAGACATGCGGCCTTCCCTTCCAGAGTCAAGGAGGTGAGATGGAGCTGGGCTTCCCTGGCCAACTGACGAGGACGGGCCTGTTGTGGAGCCATAAATGCACTTGTACACCCAGAGACTCTGGCTCCACTCTGGGATCCTTCCACAAGCTTCCTGATGGTCCCAGGCCTCCTTCTCCTCCCCTCTGAAGGCAGTTTCCGAGTTACAGGTTCCAAGGGCCACCTCCACTGTCCTGCACATATTCTCTCTAGCTGGAAAGCATCTTCTGTATTCGTTCCCGCACTTCCTTTGGTCCCAAGGACACCATCATTTCAGCTACAGGGGGTCCTTGCTAAGAACAAAGAGAAAAGATCACCTTATTTCCTTCAACTGCCTAAGGAACTAATGCCCAGCCTCAGTCTGCAGAAGTTATGCCCCAGGCCAGCCCCAACCCTGCTGCCTACGTCCCAAGGAACAGAGATAACATTTCATTGCCTTTAATTACTGCAGGTGAGCATGGGTCCCCGAAGCCTGTCTTTCCCGTGTGGATATGTCTGTTACCCCCAACCCATTGCCAGCTCCATGCAGGGAGGGGGCGTGAGCGTTTCAGTCACTACTGTATCCACTGCGCCTCGCAGGGTACTTTCATACAGCAGATACTCAATACTCTGTTGAATGATGAATGAGGGGAGTGATCATGTTTCATTCTTTGAAACCCCAAAACTGAGCTTAGTGCTTGCGGTAAACGTTATTTGAATGGCTAAATGAGGGGTTCCGGGGAACAGTCCAGCCCATCTGCCCGCCTCACCAGCTGTCCACTGAGAGCCACTCGGAGGAGCTTCATCACGTTACTGTGTTTGGTACCTTCCAGACCTTCTGACAGCTTCTTCAGTTCTCCATTCAGCACGTCCTGAGTTAAGCTCGTACCAGGTCCTTCTAAAAGTCTAGAAGAGGGCCAGTGCATAAGGCCTGCACAGGCCAATGGCAAGTGGGTAGGAGGGAGGTCATCAGTCAACTACAACATAAGCGGCACAACCAGCCTTCAAGCCTGCGGGGAAGGGGAGGGAGGGGATATCTACTCCCCTCATCCCCATCTGAGCTGGGGAAGAAAAAAACCCGCCAAGGGACCTTATACACATAATCCGAGCAAGTGGGTGTAACACAGGGAAACTGAGAGGGTACTGTAATAAGAGGATTTATTAATTGCTACTTCTGTGTCATGTAATCTCTATGCTTCAGTTTTCTCACCTGTAAAGTGGGGATGATAATAGTGTCTGTACCTCACAGGGCTATGGTGGGGCTTGGTTAAAACTTGCAAAGCACTAAGTACACTGCCTGGACAGTAAGTACTCAAAAGTATTAGATTTAACATTTCTATAAAAAGTTAAATATTAGCTAATATTTATTATATCCAAGAGCTCGGAGAGATTGCTCCAAACTCTAAAAGAAACTTAGGAATATATTAGACATAGGATGGAAGAATGAAGCCCTCTAGGAAATTATCTGAAACACAGCTTCAAGATTGGTGGGGGAGGGACTTCTGGAGATGTGGCACAGAAGAGCAGAAAGAAATCAGGACACCCCAGCTCCAGCTCCACTAATGGTCCTGCTACCAACTTGCTCTAATCATTATTTGCCCACAAATTGAAGCATTTAAGCATCTAAAACTCAATGGGCCAGCAACCGTTCCCCACTTTCCCGGCAGTCCGGCTGAGATCCTCTCCCCAAAGCATGTTTGAGTTTCAAGAGAAAGTCTCCATTCAGTTAGAGCTGGACTTGCAAACATTTTGTCCCAGCCCTGACTCTGAGTTAGACCAAGAGGTTGGGGGCGGGGGAGTCTATTCCACAGCCCCTTCCCAGTTCCCCTAAGTTATAGTGGAGACTCCATATCGGACACTGAAGAGGGATTGAGGCTGGAGAGCTTCACTGGTGCAGATGATCCATGATGCCAACTCTGACAGCACCTGCTCACACGGGGTCCAGACATCTCCATTCCAAAGGTCAGCTTAGTGTGGAGCGCTACTGGCTCAGGGAATTGAGCTCAGAAGTAATTTGAAGAAACAGACATTTAGTGCAGATTTCCTTACTAACAGCCAGTATTTGAGCAACTGAGTTTCAACCTGAGATAAAAGTTAACTTCTCATTGCATCATTAACTAGGCCCGTGATCACTGTTATTCACAAAATGGAGGAGATGAAATACTGAAAACACAAAATGTAAGGTGGGAAAAAAGAGACACTCTCCTCAATGTCGCTGTGGGGAAACAGGCTGCCAAGGAGCTGGTGAAAGAATGACAGGCCCCAGGCGGCCAACAATGGCAGCTCAGGACTTGAGTCAGAGTTGGCCCAGAGCTCGGCACGGGCACAGGAGGGAATTCTAGAGATCTGGCAGCTTTGGAACATTTGGGCATCAGTTTTCCTGCCTTGAGTGGGAGCCCCAGAGTGTCTCTGAAACCTAAGCCCATGGCAGGGATGGGGAGGCAAGACATGAGTCTCAGGGAATTAGAACTAATAGCCCCTATTGTGGAATGTCCTAAATTAAGGAAGTATTATTATTAGTAACAGTAGCTCTTAGGAATTTATCCTGAAGACATACTTGCAAACATGCTTAAAGATGTCTGTTCAAGGTTATTCATTGCAGCACTGTTTCTAACAGCAAAATTTGGAAGCAATCCAAATGTCTATTAATAGGAGACAAGTTAAATTATGGTAAGGTGGTATAATAATGGAATAGGTGTAGTGGCAGAAAAGAACGAGGCTGCTCTCTAGGCACTGGACAGATGCAAAGATACATTGTTAAGTGAAAAAAATAACCCAAAAGGACACACAACAGTGTTACTGTATTGTACGTTTTGTTTAAAAAGGGAGAAAACAAGAAGGATCATTTCGATATAATTAGAAATAGTAACATACAGAGGGTACTGGAACTGGGCAGATGGGAGACAAGGATTAAAAACAGGACTCCCAATATATACTTTTTAAAATAATTTCTAGGTTTTAAACCCAAGTTTAAGAGGTTTAATAATCAAGATATTAAATTTAAAATTTGAAAAATTATAAAAATGGCGTTATACATACATATCCTTGAATACACAAACATTTCATAAAACTGCTAAGTGTGGCTGCCGTTTTGTTCGGGGCTGGCACAGGAGGGAAGACTGACTTGTTGCTACAAAGCCTCTCGTACCATTTGTATTTTTCGCCACATGCATGTATTCTTACCTCTTCAAAATGTGTATTCTAATAAAATGCTGAAGGTCGCTAGGTATCAGCCCTGTCCAAGCACTTCACATGAAGGAGAAGCAACAGAGAACATGACCAGACAGATGGGCTCCAGACCCAGCCTGCCCGAGTCTGAATCCTCGCTCCTTCAACTTACTAACGGTATCATTTTAGACAAGTTACTTAGCCTCTCTGTGCCTCAGTTTTCTGATCTGTAGAATGGGGATAGCCAGCCCTGATGGTCTAGTGGTTAAGATTCGGTGCTCTCACCACTGCAGTAGGTTCCTTTCCCAGTCAGAGAACTATACCACCTGTCCCCCTTGTGTCATACTGTGGCGGCTGTTGTCACTGCGATGCTGAAAGCTATGCCATCACTATTTCAAATATCAGCAGGGTCACCCATGGTGGACAGGTTTCAGCAGAGCTTCCAGACTAAGACACAGGAGGGAGAAGGACCTGGCCACCCACTTCTGAAAAAATTGGCTATGAAAAAAGCCCTATGAACAGCAGTGGAGCATTGTTTGATACAGTGCTGGAAGGCGAGAAGATGGTGCAAAAAAGACTGATCAGGGTTCTCCTCTGCTGTACACAGCATCGCCAGGAGTCAGAAGCAACCTGACAGTGCTAAGAACAAAAAAAATGGGGATAAACCGACCAAAGGGGAGAAAATATTTGCACATCATGTATCTGACAAGGGGTTAATCTCTATAATGTATAAAGAACTCGTACAACAGAACTACAAAAAAAAAAACCCAACCCAATCAAAAAGTGGGCAGAGGATACAATCACTTTTCCAAAGAAGATACACACATGGCCAATAGGTACATGAAAAGATGTTCAACATCACTAAACATCAGGGAAATGCAAATCAAACTATACTAAGATACTACTTTACACCCGTTAGAAGAGCTGTAATAGCTGAGACAAAAAAATTGTTGGAAAGGTTGTGGAGAAAAGGGAACCCTCACACACTGCTGGTGGGAATGCAAACTGGTGCAGCTACTATGGAAAACCACATAGAGATTTCTCAAAAAATTTAAACAGAAATACCATACGACCCAGCTATCTCACTACTGGGCATTTATCCAAAGAACTTGAAATCAACAATTCAAAGAAACTTATGCACCCCTATGGTCACTGCAGCATTATTCACAGTAGCCAAGACGTGGAAGCAACCCAAATGCCCATCAACTGATGAATGGATAAAGAAGATGTGGTGCATATATACATCGGACTACTACTCAGCCATAAAAAAGGACAAAATCGTCCCATTTGCAGCAACATGGATGGATCCTGAGGGTATTATGTTAAGCGAAATAAGCCAGACAAAGACAAATACCATATGATTTCAGTCATTTGTGGAAGATAAACAAACTTACAGACAAAGAGAACAGTTTAGTGGTTACCAGGGGGAACAGGGATGGGGGGACACAAGGGGTGGAGGGGCACACTTCATATGGTGTCTGACAAATAACGATGTACAACAGAACTTTCACAATGTTATAAACTAATATGACCTCAATTAAAAAACAACTAAAAAAGAAAATGAGGATGATAACAATACCCACTGTAGGGTCTCACTTGCTCAGCCATCGCCTGCATGCCCTACAGTAACCACGTGTCCTCCCGGCCTCCTTCAGGGTGCGATGCCAACCATCTGGTACTATAATGATCCAGGGCCTGGCCAATCCAGATCTGCTGTCTCAAAGAACAGCACATCCTGAAGGAACACAGGGCCCTTCCATGTGAGCTACTGGTCCTTGGAATGCTGGCCATGTGATGACAGTCCCTCCCAGCAAGCATGTGGCCTTTGTTCCCCTGCCTATGTAACCAACCCTGTCTGTTCATGGTAGCAGTGTGCAATTCAGTCCAGCCGGCTGCTCATGGACTCCCTATATGTAAGTTCCCAAAACGCTTATGTCTTGTTCGCCGCCTCTGGGTCTTCCTTCTGTCTCTCCACTACCTACCCTTCGCTGCTTGCACAGTTGGGTGTGCAGTCAGACACCTACTTTATTAGGCTGCTGTGAATTTAAGTGTATATATACGCCCCCCCCCACATATATGTATACATATATAATGTACATAACAGCATATTGCAAGCATGTATGTAAGCAAACACACACATAAGTATTTGCTATTATCTAATTTAATCTTCGCAACAAAGCTGGGAGGTGAGTAAATGGACATTTGTAGGTTTTGCTGTTCAGCATCCATCCCCCTTTCTCCTGACACCAGTGCCCTAAATCTCCCTTGGGAATTACCCACTGCCCATTCTCAGTCCAGAGGTTGGGGGTCCATGCAGGGCCCCCATATGACCTAACCTAAGCTGATCAGCACATCCCATTCCCCAGACATTGGTGACTGGTTCAGGGACAAGAAAACCAGGTCAATCAGGCCCCAGCAGAGTTAAACTCAAGACATGGCTGGAGCTGTAGGCTGAGGTTTTGAGGTGGGGGGGAGCTGCTGAGCTGTCTTACAACCACAGTGCAGACTGGGAGAGAGGCTGCTAATGAGCCCCAGTATCCTTTCTCCCTTTCCTATGTAGTAATGAAATTTTTAGCCAGTCACACAGCTGCCAAGTTAAAAAGCTATGTTTTCCAGACTCCCTTGTAGCTTGGCATGGCAATAAGACAGGCACTCTAGCCAGAGGGATCCACGCAATAAGGCAGCTGCTCTAGCCAGAGGGATCCAGGTGGAAATGAATGTCTAACTTTTAAGTCTGGTTCTTGAAGGGAAGGAGAGTGCTGTCCCCCTCCCTTTTTCCTCCTCCCTCCTCTGGCTGAATTGAGGACGGTCCGTGAACCACCATGGACCATGTGGACAAGAGCAAAACCTAAGGATGGCAGGACCCTGGAGACGTGGAGAAAAGCTGGTCAGCCCTTCACTCTCTGCTCGGACTGCTAGGTAAGGGGGAAGACTTCTGTCTGGAAGAGGATTCCACCCCCCATCCATGTGATACAGAGCCTCTGCAGAAACAGCAGCCAGCATGAAGGAGCGTGGGGCAGAAAGTCAAGAGGACAGAGAGAGAAATTAGGTCTTGGTGACATATTTTTGTCCCTTGCATTAAGATGGGCCTCAAGTCAGCCCTTCTTCCAGCCTCTGGAATTACACAGACCAATCATCCCCATCTTGCTTAAGCCAGCTTTGGTTATGTTTCCTGCTCTGTTACTGTTATAGTAAGGACTAGTATCATCTCCACCTTATCGATGAGGAAATGGAAGCTCAGAGATGCAGTAACTTAGCCAAAATGAAGCCCCCTGGGGAGGAGAAATAGCTGGCTAAGTGGTGGAGCTGGGATGGAACCCAGCTGGGTCCAACAGCACAGCCTGAAGGTACTGCTGCTTCCGGGAGAGCCTGGGCTCCTCTGGGTAAGCCCTCCTACCACGAGAGCCAGAGCATATCGTCTCGCCAAGAACCTCTTCACCAGCCACAGGGTTGTGCTGCAGGCCCGACAGCCAGGCCCTGGAGTAAAGGGCGCCCTGGGAGGGAGAAGGGAGGAGGGTGCATAGCCTTGAGCTCGGCCTGTGGGAACTCACCCCAGCACGCGCTTGGCAATCACATCCACCTGCTCCGAGATGGCGCCCAGCTGTGCTCGATCCACAGCTGGGCGAGTCCACAGGTAGGAGTGTGCTGGGGAGACCAAATCCTGCAGGCGGCAAATGTGACCCTGGGGGAAGAGGCAGTTACCGACAGCACTAGGGACCAGGCTCTGACACACCAGAAGGGGGAGCCACCCACTCCCTCAGTCTCCCAGAGCACCGGACCCCACACCTGTCTCAGCAGGATGATTCTCTCCACATAGGCTTGGTCCAGCACGTCCCTGTCTTGCAGCTGGTTCCCAAACGCCTCCTGCACGAGAGTCTGTAGCTTCCCCACCAGCTGGCGCCGCTGGGTCTCACTGCTCACCAGCCGACGGAGATGCAGCCTGGAGCAGAAGCTCAGGGACTCAGGCATTGTCCTGCTGCTGGCATCTCCAGCCTACTCAAACCCTCTCCCTCCAGGGAAGCGGGCAGAATTTGAAGAGTGACACATTTTGTGGGCTGTCCCTCCCACAGCCTTGAAGCAGGATTCCCTTCACACTTATAGAAGGAAAGGGAGGTGGCCGAGGTCTGAAACATGCAGCCTGAGAGCCCCAAGCAGTCCAGAGCCACGCTGTCTTCACTGCTCTTTAAAACAGTCACTCACCTTTATATCAGCAGGAGATCACATAAAAACAGAGATTTCTGGCTTCTGTGGGGAAATCAGAAGATCCGCCTGCAAAGGGCCCTCATTCCCCACACTTCAACTGGCTGGAGCAGAGGGAGGCTGCCCAGCTTAGGCTGCCACAGTGCTCCAGTCTGCCAGTCCTTCCACTCCCCGGGGTCTCTCACCCGGCCGGCCTCTACAGGCACTTGTGTTTACAAGGCAGAATCTCGGAGTGTCTGCCTCCTCACATGTCTTAAAAGCGTGGGGCTCTGACACAAAGGGGCAGAGGTCAAGAATATGGATTTCTAGGATTTAGAGCCATGGGACAGTCTAGAGGGCAGAGTTGTCTGAATTCAGGGCTTACAGTTAAAAACTTCAGGTTTTCTTGTCAGCTCAAATTTTCACCTTTACAGAATTCTTCTAACTGCCTTGTTCCTTCCTTCAGAAGCAGCGAAGCCTTTAAGATTTCAACCCTCCAAACAGCCCTGTCAGTCCTTGGTCCCCAGCAGGGGTAGAAGAACTTGAGAGCGCAAGCATGAGAGAGAATGTGAGTGGCACAGGGCTGAGGCCCATTAGTAGGCATGTGGCCCCTTGTCCCTGGCATAGAAGAAAGGCAGGCAGCAAGGGGTGGGTGCACATCTCATGGGCTCTGCAGTTGGACAGGCCCACGAGTGAAGTCAGCCCTGCCAGGTGTTTGCAGCAAGTTACATAACCATTCGGAGCCTCAGGATGCTCATCTGTAAGGGAGGGACAAGAGGGCTTCCCTCAAAGGGATCTGTGCAGATTAGATGAGGGACCATCTGTAAAGTCCTGAGCAAAGGCCGGAATTGCCCCCACAGCCGGGAGCTGGCGACGGGCAGGGGTCTGAAGAGAGGCTTCAGCATGTCACAGAATGGAAGGATGAGACCCTCCAGGAAGCCATCTGGAGCACAGACTGCCCAAAAAAATAATGATTTTTCTTAACTCCTTTAAGAAAAATCGCGTGAAATTGGCACTGAAACTGTTCCTAGGACTCTTTAGTAGCTAGATGAGATAGCAGGAGAAAAGAAATCAAGAGACCCAGTGGCCATGCTGGAGATGTAAGGAAGGTCCAGGGCCTGGGACACAGTAAGTGCTAAATAAATGTCAATTACTATTACAACGTCCACCACACCACTAGTACCACTGCTGCCATGACACTACCGTCACTCTCTTTACCACTGTAACCGAAATCATCACAAGAGGGGCTTGACGACAGAAACATCTAACTAAGGACAAGAGCTTTAGCTGCTTGAAAGCTGTGGGCATCAGTCCTAGCACTGCTCCTCTCTCTGATCCACACTAAGCAAAAGCCCACGCCCATCTTCCTCTGGCCACCCCACGTGCTTCAGGGAGCACTGGAAAGGGCCACGAAGTATCTCCCCTGTCCTGACCCCCTTCTCCGAGAAATCGCTTTCCATATAATAAGAAAGGCAGAGTACAAGTCGATCTGCTGTGCATGTTGCATTCGCTCTCGAATGCCCCATTCAAGAGACGCCTGCCGTCTGCTCTGTGACTGGGGCTATTAACTTCTCTACGTCTTGGTTTCCTCTCATGTAAAATAGGGCAAAATTATACAACTGACCTCACAGGTCTGATGGGGGAAGTAAATGAAGTAACATCCTTAAAACACCCGCAGTCGATGTGAATTCCCAGGACCCACGCAAGTAAAGGATGGAAGAGAGCCTGTCCCCAAACCAGCATTCAGGAGAAGGCATCAACCAGTCCCTTGCCCCCCAAGCACAAACCTGTCCGCAGCCTTTACCACTAATGCCCTCTGACCGAGACATGTCGACAGTGATGAGAACTGTAACTGCATTTGGGGGTTTGAGTGAAGAACTACTTGAAATACAAACTAGACGCCATGAGACAGTGCTCACTCACTGTGGTGGCTGGGTGGGGGGAGCAGCCGATTCTGAAATGAAGTGGCTCCTCCCCAGGCTTTGGCTGTTAACAGAATCCATGCAAGTCACGGTAGTGATAAAAACAATAGCTACCATTTACCGAGCACTTTCCATGTGCCAGGGACTGTGGCAAATACTTTGAGGCAACATTTAATTTAACTCTTAACAAGTGCACAAGGTGGGTACTGTATTAGCCCCATTTTAGAGAAGAGAAAACAGGCTTGAAGAGGTTAGGCGACTTTCCTGTGGTCACACAGCATTAGAAACTTGAGCACACAGTCAAAATCAGGTGTGTGTGACTCCAGGGCCCACAAGACTCTCTGCCACAGGGACCCAGTACCAGCAAGCAAGCCCTTTTCTACCCAGCACTCTCCGGTCCCCCACTCACCTGTTGAATTCTGGGAGCTTCTCCAGGTCTAGCAAGGCTGAGTGGCAGGTGATCCGGGTCAGGTCAAACTGTGTTATCAGCTCTGACAAGGTCCTGCCCATCTGGTTCTCTGCAAGTGAGGGAAGCTCAAGCTCTCAGCTCCCTTCCTCAGGCCCTCCTTCCATTCTGAATCCCAAGGGCAGCCGAGCGAGCACACACGGGCTCCCCATTCCACTTTAACCACAGGCATTCAACTTCTAGCTATTTTATATACCAAAGGCCCAAATAAGCTTTCATTGGCAGAAAGGGTTCTGGCACTAAGGAAAAAGAAGTCTGAAAACAATCAGGCTGAGCCCGACTCCACTGCCCTCAAACACGTGAGCTGCAAGAGCAGCACGCGCCTGCCTGGCTGTACCCCGGAGATTCTGATTCGACTGGTCTGGGATGGGGTCTGAGCATAAGTGCGGTTTTCAAGCTTCCTGGGTGATTCCAAAGTGCAGCCAGAGCTGAGAACCACAGTGCTGGGCGCCATTTCTCATGAGGAGCAGCTCTGTCCCACACAGTCAGCAGGCATCATGGGCAGGCAGAGGCCTAAAGTGAGCCTCCGCCATGTCCCATACTAGCTGTGTGACTCTAGCAAGTTACTTGACTTCTCTGAGCCTCGCAATCCTCTTACAGACAGTGGGGAGAATAAATCCTTACCTTTCAAGCATATTTGAAGGATTACATGAGGTAAGGGCAGAATAAACAGTAAGCAGACTATTATTGCCACATTTTCAGAAACCCCTTTCAGAAAGAAGTCATTCATTTTAGTGCTTCTTTAAGATCTGGCCTCTAAGTCTTGGGCCAAGGGTAATGGCTCAGCCTGGACTAAACGAGGTCATAGCAATCCTGGTGATCCTGCCAGAGCACACACTTGCAGGAGCAGGCCTGTAACTGTACCATCAGAAGATCTGTAAGTTTTCTCCTTACTGTGAGGCAGATACTGTGCTGGGTGCCTCATACTCATGAGCTCAGTGGATCCTAACTTAACCCTGAGGTAGACGCTTATCCCCATTTTAAAGATGAGGCAACTGAGGCTCAGAAACCATAAGCTCCCTGAAGTCAGGGGTTACAGTATCTTATTCACTGTTGTAGCCCAAGCCCCACTGTAATATAGTGTCTGGCTCAATAAACATTTGTTGAATAAAAGAATGAACTCGTGCAAGTTTATGTAGCTGGCAGGTAGCACAGCCGGGACTGAAGCCCCGGTGGGCCTGAACCAATGCCCTGACTCCTCGCTGCAATGGCCCCACCAGGAGCTCTCAGGTGAGTAGGTACCTGCAAACCCGGAGCCACAGTTGGTGATGATGTCGAGCAATGCATCCGGCAGGAAGCCAGCAGCAGCAAAATGCTCCAAGAAAATGTCCCCTTGCCTCTTGGAGAGCTTGCTGCCATCCTTGTTGAGGAGCAGGGGCAGGTGGGCGAAGTGAGGGGGTGACCAGCCCAGGGCTCGGTAGAGGAGCAGGTGCTTGGAGGTGGAGACCAGCCACTCCGAGCCCCGCAGCACGTGGCTGACACCCATGTGGTGGTCGTCCACCACGCAGGCCAGGTGGTACGTAGGGAAGCCATCACTCTTCAGGATGACTGGGTCCCCCTCCACAGTGGCCACATCATGCCGATTCCAGCCATATACCAGGTCCTGAAAGGCTGGGGCCTCCTCCTCCAGACGGAAGCGGATAGCAGGCTTGGGGTCCTTGGCCAGCTTCTGGGCCACCTGCCCTGGGCTCAGGTTCCGGCACCGATTGTCATATCTGTTGGGAAGCAGAGCAGCATAGCAGGCAAGAGTACTGGTGATGGGCATAATCCTACCTGCGCCTCTGATAGCCATATGACCTGGGACAAGTCACTTACCTGTCTATTTCTTCACTCTTGAATGGGGATAACGAAAAGGCTGTTGTGCGGGAGAACTAAGTGAGATAACACAGTGTGGCAGGCACTTACGTCTGCCCACCTACCAGCCTGTCCCCTTTCCTGCTAACGAGGAAATGACAAAATGCCTAGTCCAAGAGGTTGAACCAGGATTGGCACAGCCAATCATGCAATTCTCTTCCCCTATGCTGGTGACCGGTCCAGGCAGGACCAATCTAGACACTGAGACTCAAAGAAAAGTACGCTCGGTGGGTAGGAGAGGGTTAAGGTTCTGGGAAAGATTTCTTCTCCAAGCAAGTGAGCCACAAGAGGAAAATCCTTTTAATTCCCCACCTTCCCCCTTCTGTGCTCCTCAGATGTCGTTCTGCGACTAGAGAATGCTTGGAGCTGCTGCAGCCACTTACAACTGATGGCGGTGGAGTAGGGGGGCTAGGGAGGCCAAAATAGAGCCCGGACATCTCAAAACTGCTGCTTTTACCCTGGAGACTTCTGCAGAATGAGAAGATAAATGTGTGGTTTATGCTCTGGCTACTCAAAGTGTGGTCTGTGGAGCCCCAGCATCAGCCTCACCTGGGATTTGTCTGAAATGCAGCATCTCAGGCTCCACCCCAGACCTGCTGAATCAGAATCTGCATGTTAATTAGATCCCCAGGTGATCAGTCTGCATGTTAAAGGATGAGAAGCTCTGGTTTGTCCCTTTTAAACAGGGTATTCCGTTACTTGCTCCCAAAAGCTTCTTAACTGATAAACAGAAGTAACACTTGTAAGCACAGTACTTGACACGCAGCTCAGTGTCCAATCGACAAACGGGTGCATGGATTCCAGCATAGGGCATGAGTGTAACTTTCAAAAATAATCTTCTGTCAATAGACAAGTAGACTGTTTATAGTAAAAAAGCAATGCAGCCGTGAATGTCATGACCTTGTACAAACATCCAAGCCCTTGTCCAAATAGTTCACTGAAACTGGAACTTAAATGTTATGATGCCACTGCCGATGGGAGCGTAAGCTAGCAAAGCGCCATGGACAGTATCCATCAAAGCCATAAACTGACCCCACATCTAGGAAGGTCTCCAACAAACACACTGCACATGTGCAAAATGACGTGTGTCCACATTACTCACCATAGCTCTTTTATAATGAGAAAAAAATGAGAAATTGCATAAAGGGTCATCAGTAAGGAATTGATTAAGTAAACGATGGTTTACCCATATAATGGAATCCTATGCAAGCATAAGAAAAAATCATGGATTTCTATATGATGTAGACTGATCCTCAAGACAGTAAGTGGGAATGTAAGTTGCATAATAAATATAGCGTGTGCTACTATTTGAACGAGGAAGAAAAGAAACAACACGCGTTTATCAGAGCGTGCACTGAATGTCTCTGGAGGAGACACAGAAAATTCTAACACCCGTTTGTCTCTGCAGAGGGTCAGCACTGGGAGAGATCTTTGCATATCTCTCTCTGGCCACGAGAAAATTTTACTTACTCAAAATAACAAATAACTAAAATTACTTTACATGTTCCTGCCTGAGATCCAATGTGGGAGGCAGCTCCCACATGGCCCCAACGATCCTCGCCTCCTGGGATTTCTGCCCTTGTGTCATCCCCTCCCGTGGAGTGCGGGCTGGACCTGGTGACTTCCTTCTAACGAAGAGAGTACGTACAACAAAAGTGATGATGAGATGTCACCTCCTCCACTAGGTTACCACAGACTCTAGCTCTCATCCTAAAGTCTCACTCACTCTTATGCTTTCTCCCCAGCTCGCTCTGAGGAAAGCCAGCTGCCAAGTTGTGAAGTGCCCCATGGAGAGGCCCATGTGGCCCTGAGGTCTGCCAACAGCCTCGTGAGAGAAGATGGAAGCAGATTCTCCCGGAGTCAAGGCTTGAGCTAAGTGCAAGCCTGACCAAGGCCTTGACTGCAGCTCTGAGAAACCCTGAGCCAAGGGACCCAGCCAAGCCGTGCCCAGACTCCTGACCCAGAGAAACTGTAAGATCAGAAAAGTCTGGGAGTAATTTGTCATGGAGCAAAAGCTAATGAACAGGGGCCAGCCCCGCGGCCGCGTGGTTAATTTCACGGGATCCGCTGCAGCGGCCCAGGGTTTCCCTGGTTCAGATCCTGGGCACAGACACGGCACTGCTGGTCAGGCCACGCTGAGGCAGCGTCCCACATGCCACAACTTGAAGGACCCACAACTGAAAATACAAAACTATGTACCGGGGGGCTTTGGGGAGAAAAAGGAAAAATAAAATCTTTAAAAAAATTAAAAAATTTTAAAAAGCTAATGCACACACTCAACTTTGGGGAGGCACAGTGACGGGCTGGGGCTCTCACCGGGGCGTCTGGTGGTTCCTCAGGGCCTCCCTCTTCAGCAGCTCCAGCCGCTGTGGTGAGCAGAAACAGGGGTAAGCAGCGCCGGTCTTCAGCAGAGCTTCTGCAGCCTGGGCGTACAGCTCAAGTCGCTGAGATTGCAGGTAGGGCCCGGCAGGACCGCCCCGGCGGGGGCTCTCATCAGGGGGAATGCCTGGAGAGAATAAGCACCAAAAAATAGTAACTAAGAGGCATACAGCACTCATTGCCAGGCACTGTTCTAAGCAGTGTACACATATAGTAAAAGTCTTAGTCCTCCCGCAAAATCCACGAGGTCAGTACTATTAGGATTTGCCTTTTACAGATGCAAAGCTAAAGGAGAGAGAGATGACGTGCTTGAGGTCAGGCGGCCTGGCGGATAAGGAGTTGGACGGAGGTGCACTGGTTCCACAGTCCACGCTCTTAACTGCACATCCTCTCCAACCATCCTGTCCCTGGGGAGGCAGAAACCAGCCCAAGCCTGCAACAGCTGACTCAGGAGAAAAGGTGTGGTCCAGGGCACAGCCTGTCAGGCCCTGGCTGGACTCCTGGCTGCCCCTGATGAGCTGTGACAACGGTTCCTGAAGATGTGTGAGTGCTAGAGTGCCAAGCACCTGTCAGGCTGCTTTTACATTTTGTCATCTCTGTGAAGCCTAGGACCACCCTACCCAGAAGGTGCCATTATTATCCCATTCAGTAAGGAGGACACATGCACGGAGGGTCTTTGCTATGTCACCTGACCAGGATAAGGAGCACAACCAGGTTCAAACCCAGGTTAGCTGGCCCCAGAGTCCATGCTCTTAACCATTCATTGTGCTGCCCCTTTTGTTCCTTAGACTTTCTAAGCCTCAGTTTCCTTCTCTGAAAAGTGGAACTGATAGTCTACCGTGCAGTGAGTGTGAGAACTAAGTCCACCAGTGCTTACAAAGAGCTCAGCCTGATGGCTTACACGTACAGCAGCCGCAATAGACGCTGTGGATTACACGTGATCTGCTAAAAGCCAACCCCCAATCCAGGGTCCAGTCTCCTCAGGTCATAAAGGACAGACTTAACTGTAAACACTTCCAGGAGAGGACAGAGGGGACACAGGAGAGCTGGATTATGGCATTTCTGTCCTCAAATAGCTTTCAAATGAATTAGGAAGATAAGCACATGGGTAACCCTGCTACCCCCCACATGGGCAACACAAACTGGAGGTGGCCAGGCCTGGGGTCAGATGCACTGGCCAGCTCTGAGGCCCTGGGCGAGTCACCTTTCTGAGCCTCCATTTCCTCACTGATAAAAGGAGGATATGAACAGTCATTTTCTCCTGAGGGTCATCACAAGGCTAGAATGCGAGGACCTAGGGAAAGTGCTTCATGTATTGCCTGGCATGTGCTAAGACTCACAAAGCTCTGCTTGTGATTATTAGAGTGTTACTGGGCTCCCTCTCCCACTGGGCCTCTGTTTCTTCAATTGTCAGAAAAGGGGGCTGGGTTAGGTAAATTTGGGGGTCCCTTCCTGATCCAACTTAACATGTTCAGTGTGTGGAATGCCCCAGGGTTTAAGAGTGACTTCACTAGGAGAACTTAAAACATATGTTCACATAAAAACTACTATGTAGGGGCCAGCCCCGTGGCCGAGTGGTTAAGTTCGCCTGCTCTACTTCTGCGGCCCGGGGTTTTGCCGGTTCGGATCCTGGGCGCAGACGTGGCACCGCTGGTCGGGTCTTGCTGAGGTGGCATCCCACTTGCCACAACTAGAAGGACCCACAACTAAAAATATACAACTATGTACCAGGGGGATTTGGGGAGAAAAAGGAAAAATAAAATCTTTAAAAAAAACACACAACCAAAAAACTACTATGTAAATATTCTTAGCAGTTTTATTCTAATAGCCAAAAAAGCAGAAACAATCAAAATGCCCATCCACTGATGAATGGAAAAACAAAATGGGTATTTCCACACACTGGATATGACCTGGTCACAAAAAGGAACGAAGTACTGACTCACGCTACAACACAGATGAACCTCTGCTAAGGAGAAGCCAGTCACGGACAGCCACCTCTTGTTTGCTTCCAGTTAGATGAAACGTCCGGAATGGGTAAACCACAGAGACAGAAAGTAGCTTAGTGGTTGCCAATGGCTGGAGGAAAGGAGGAATAGGGACTGACTGCTATTAAGCATGGGTTTCATTTTGGGGTGATGAAAACATTCTGGAATTAGATATTGGTGATGGCTGCACAACATAGTGAATATACTAGAAAACACAGAATTGTATAGTTTGAATGGCGAATTTCACATTATGTGAATTATATGTCAATTGAAAGAAAAGGACTCCCGAAGCAAGAAGCTCCAGAGGTCAGCCACCCTGGGGAGCCTGGACACCTGCCCTCTCCCTCACCAAAAGGCTGGGGTAGGGGAGGTCTGCTGAGGGGCCGCAGGCCGCACTCACACCATCACGCGGCACTGGGAGCTCCGCAAGGGTGGTACTTGTTCATCAGCAGACCCCTCGTGCCCAGTACAGTGCCTGACAGGAAGCAGGCGCTCCGTGAAATCCAAGTTTTTGCTGTGGCCTGCGTGGCATTTCACGATTTTGCTCCCGCCAACCCCTCTGTCCTCACGTCTCCAGTTATTCTGCTTTGTTCACTGTGCTTGGGCCACAATGGCCTCCCTGCTGCTTCTCTAATATGCCCAGCACTTCGCTTCTGCAGGGCCTTTGCATCTGCTATTCCCTCTGCTTTGAACATTCTTCCCCAAGGTAACCATGGGGCTGGCCCCTCACTTCATGTAGGTGTCTGCTCTAATGTCACCTCCTCAGAGAAGACCACCCTATCAAAAAGAGCATCCCGTAATCTGTTACCCATTCTTCCACAGCACTTATCAACACTCAATAGCACAGCAAGAATGAATGAATCTGTTTACCTGTCTCCTCTCCATACTGAGCGCAGGATCTCTGCTCAGTGCTGGAACACTACCTGGATCACAGTAAGTGATCTCGGTGAATGAATTCCTGTATTTAACTAATCTCGACTACGTTTCTGCTACAGCTTTCCACAACAGAAGACAGAAATGAAATCTGTTTCTGCCATTAAGAATCCAGAGTCTAGTTAATAATTCACCTGAGGTTAGAATACACATCTCAAAACGGTCATGGTATTTTCGGTATGTTTCCTTGGGAAGCTTAACTAGTCCTACCTGTCCCGACAGGAGGCAACTATTGACCCAGAGAACACAAGCACACCCCTCCTTGTCCTCCCTGAGCTTAGCTCTCCTCCAGATTAAACCTCCCATGAAAGATCGATTTCAGGGGCTGCACAAGTTTTGTTTCGCTCATACAGTGTGGTTAAAAAAAAGACAAACAAACTGGAGCTCAGATTTAACAATGTGAAGCGTTCATTAAAAAACAATAACAAAGCACCTGGAGTTCTGGCTCCTCTTGGCAATCAGAAGATTTAACAAGCTGGGCCACCATTCCCACGTGGGAACATGGGGAGCGTTCTCCTGCTCACCATAAACCTAGCACTCCAGTTCCATCTTACACCTGGCCTGTGCCTCCTGCCTGCTCCCAGGGGCACTTGAGATTCTGAGATAAGAACAGGAATCTCAAAACAGCCTTAGAGCTTTTCTTCAGAGAGCTTCAGCATCTTTTTGGGTGGTACGTGTCACCCCAGGCAGTATAAATGTACCCATTTCTCCAGGAACTCCTCATTCTCCATCCCAGGCCCGGTGGGAAGACCTACAGGCTCCTTTCCCTGCTCCCTCCTTGAAGAAGGATCCTTTCTCTGCCAGCCTCACCTGCCCACTCCAGCATGTCCTCAATATTCTCCGCTGCCCCAGGCACAAGGCGGGTCTGATCCGTGTCCTCCAGCCTCAGGATGAAGCTTCCCTGGTGCTTCTTGGCAAAGATGTAGTTGTACAAGGCAGTGCGGAGGCCGCCCAGGTGCAAGAAGCCTGGTAAAAGTAGAGGACAGCTCAGACAGGACAGGGACAAGCAGCTGATGGGCCTCAGCCAAAAGGCAAGTTAGCCCTGCTTGTGACAGATTGTCCCAACAAACTTCAAAGCCCAAGAAACGACTACCCCCGCCCCATTTCTCCAGGCAGCACCCCGTCAGTCAGACTACCATAGAAGAGGGCTGAGGTCATCGACTCCTTTAGCCCCACATCCTGCAAGTACACCGCTCAAGTTGTGGAGCATGTCATTTTATAAAAAAACTCCAACTGCACCTGTTATCCTACTTTGAGATTTGCCTCAAGGCCAAGTTTCACCCAAACGAGAAGCAGAGGTTTATTCATTGAAGCCACATCACACGTGCGTTTAACTTATGCAAATTAACAAAGTGCAGGGGCAAAAAAAAAAAATTCATCACAAATTAAAAACGAGTGGTTAAGTTCGCGCGCTCCGCTTCGGCGGCCCAGGGTTTTGCTGGTTCAGATCCTGGGCGCAGACATGGCACCACTTGTCAGGCCATGCTGAGGCAGCATCCCAAATGCCACAACCAGAAGGACCCATAACTAAAAATACACAACTATGTACCGGGCAGCTTTGGGAGAAAAAAAGAGAAATAAAATCTTAAAAAAAAAACAACTGTGAAATTACATTTTGCATATACCCTCTACACACTGTCATGACACTCCACATCACACATTTTCAGTTTTGTCTACTTGAGATTTTCACTTTAACTGCTGGCTTTAAGTACTAACCAAAAGTAATATTCGACTCCACTTCATCCAAGTTTAAACTCATAAGATTCTACTTCATCATCACTCAATGACCAGTTTTCCCAGGGCTGTCATTTCTCCCTTACCCAACCCTCTTTGGCCCAGCCCATGGCCCCATCTCCACAATGAGCTCATCTGCATCTCCAGGTCCGGGAGGCAGCACCGGATAGGAGAAGCTCCTCTGGGATCAGGCAGACTTCAGTTCAACACTGATTATGTGTGCGACCTTCAACTAGTTATCGCAAGGCCACCATAAACCAGCGGTCCCCAAGATAGAAGACAGGGGTTCAGTTGTTGAAAGCAAGACCTTTTACATCAAGTAGACCTGGACTCAAATTCTGCACCCATCAATTACTGGTTCCTACCCCTTGGGCACTCTGCTTAACTTTTATGAGCTTCAATTTCCTCATCTATTAGGATTAAAAACAAAAAACAGAAACGTTTCTTATAGGATTACTATGAGGGCCAAATGCTGACGGAAGTACATCCTTCAATTAGGTTTAGCTATTGTAATGACCTGTGTTGCTTGATAATTCTTTTATCTGTTGTAGTCAACAGCCTTTCCCACATGGGCTTTTCCTGCAAATCAGCAAGGAAACAATTATAATCATCGTAATTGAGGCTACTGTTTATTAAATGCTTTCTATGAGTATCAGACCTTGCTAAGTACCTCAGCTGCATTAGCACAAACCCAAGAGGCAGGTACTATTACTAGCCCTGTTTGACAGATGGTAAAACCCAGAGGCTCAGAGAGGGTAAGTCATTTGCCCAAGTCACACAGCTAGGAAGTGGCAAAGTCAGAAATCTGGACCTGGACAATCCCAGGCCTTGGCACCCAAACTGGTGGTGGTCTGCAAACTGTTGCCAGTTCACCATCAAGTAAGGAGACAAACTGAGTAATGTTTAAAAACTTGTAGAAATTTGACAGAATAATTTTATATCTATTGACTCTAATTAAAAAAAAGCAGGCTCATATTTTGTATGCTTTTAAGATTTCCATTTTCCTAGTAATTCATTTATTTTGATTTTATAAAAGTATTGATCCATAATTGATTAGAAATTGGAAACCAACCCTTTCATCATGGATGTTTTGAGAAGCTTGCTCTACACTATACTGCCTGCCAAGAAAGATCCTGTCACTCCATGCAGCTGGGATCTTGCCACAAAGGCAGCCTTACATACTGACCCTGGAGTACAGAATGAGAAGGCCGAGTGGGGAGAGGGCAGAAGGTAGCCTCAGTGAGAAACTGGAGGCGAGGCCCCTACAAGATCTGCACTAGGGTATACAATGGGCTCCTTTCTGTCTTGCTAAGCTTCAACGTTCACCATAAGGCTTTTGTACCTGCAATTACCTCTGCCTGGAAGGTTTCTCCCACAAGCTTCACATATCTAGCTCCTCCTTGCCATTTGGTTCTCAACTGAAATGTCACCTCCTCGGCAAGGCCTTCTTGGGCATCCTAACCAAACCCCAGTCCCCTACTCTGATTCATTTGCCGCATGGCACATGGGACTGCCTAAAATTACAGTTATTTTTATGTTTGTCGCGGCCACTACAGTGTAAGCTCCTTGACAGCAGGGGCCCTACTGTCTCCATGACCACTGTATCCCAGCGCCTACTACAGTACCTGGCAGTTTGTACTCAATATACATTTTGAGTATATATAAAAATGTATATAAAAAAACACCGAAAGAGATGCTACAGTACAATAAATACAAAGAAACTCCGGGCAACGCGAATAATTTCCACTCGTAGACCTGTCTCTCTAAAACGGGGTCGCGCTCCCCGCCCACTCTGACTCCACCGGAAGGGATTCATTCGGGAACTTTCGGGGGGGTGGGCAAGGGACGGTGGGCCTTGGCCTGCAGCGTCACGTCCGCCATGGTTACCTGTGGGGCTAGGGGCGAAGCGCACTCGCACCGCAGCCCCGGAATCAGTGCCCAGGCTGGCCTCGCGCCGTCCTAGGGGGCGGCCTAAGGCCGCCGGGGGCCTCCCCGGCTGCAGCAGCCTCTTCAGGAGCACCGCCATAGGGAGTGGAGTCGCACACGTGGGCTTCCCCGGGCATCACTTCCGGGGACTCTTCTCAGCCAATCCGCTTCCTCTACAGCGGGCGTAACTCCGCCCCTTAAAGGCGCAGGCCTCCTAGTCTGCAAGCCCACGCCCCCCTGCACGACTGCGGCCCCACTCGGCCTCTAGGGGGCAGAGCCCACCGAGCAGGCGATTTCCCGGGCCCGCCCCCACTCCCCCCCCGCGACGGGTCCCGAAAGCTAAAGCGTGGCAGGGGCCGGATCGGGGAAGCGGAGGAGGCGGGTCTCCATAGAAACCTCCACCTGTTTCCGGCCAGGCTGTGTGAGATTAGGGGCTGCTGCGGGGGCCAATCTCAGCTAGCTCGCCTTTTCCCGGCGGCCTCTGCGGGAGCGGTGGGTGTTGTACACAATCATCATGGCGGCGGCCGGAGCCCCGGATGGTAAGTGTGGAGGGGGTGGCGGGCGCCGGGGTTTGGGCCGAGGGGAAGCGGGCGCGCCACGGGGGGTGCGGCCTGGCGCGGGGAGGAGTAGCCTGCCTCGGGAACGGTGGTCCGGCGGCGCCCGCGCAGAGTCCGAGCCCAGGCCCAGCCCGCGGCGAGCGCCCACCCCCTGACCCCCCTGCAGGCATGGAGGAACCTGGCATGGACACGGAGGCCGAGACGGTGGCGGCCGAGGCGCCCGCGCGGCCGCTCAACTGCGTGGAGGCCGAAGCCGCGGCGGGGGCGGCAGCCGAAGACTCCTGCGCCGCGCGAGGCGTTCTGCAGCCGGCCCCGGCCCAGCCCCCTGGGGACCCCGCGGCCCAGGCCTCGGTCAGCAACGGCGAGGACGCGGGCGGCGGCGCGGGCAGGGAGCTGGTGGACCTGAAGATCATCTGGAACAAGACTAAGCACGACGTGAAGTTCCCTCTGGACAGCACAGGCTCCGAGCTAAAGCAGAAGATTCACTCGATTACAGGTATTCCCCGTGCGCTGACGGCCACAGCCGGCCTTCCCCACCCCGCCTGCCCATCGCTGGCGCTTACACCGTGCCGCGCACTGCGCTGGCCTTGCCTCGGCTCCCTCAGTGCTCATAACACTCCTCCGAAGTAAGTACTAGTATGCCCATTATTCAGATGGGGAAAATGAGATCCAAGATCCTAGAGTTAGTAAGTGGCTGAGTTGAGATTCAGGCCCAGATCTGACTCTTAGGCCCAAGCTTCTAACTGGCGTTGCCCAAACATCTCTAGTAAAAGTCACCTAAGGCCCTTGGTAAATTTACAGCTCTTAGGCCCTCCCCCGTGGAGATTTTGATTCAGTGGGTTTGGAATGTGACCAGGACTTTATTTTTAGCAAATAGGTAATTCTCATAAGGGAAGTTTAGGAGACACTGCTGTTGGCTATCCTGCTGGCCTGGTCTCAGATGCTCATGTTACTTAGTTTTATCTCGTTTACAGATTCTGCTGGCTGAAGTGATTTCTTTTTTAAGCTTTCTTCCTGTAGTCAGTAAGCTCATAAAAACAGCAACTTTGTCCTTACTGGGTTTTGTATCCCTGAGGCCTGTGGACTCTCATTTAATATTTGGCAGATTGGATGATTGAGGAACAACTAGGAATGAATGATAGCTAGTTTTTATTGAAAAATTGCTGAACAGCAGGTGCTGCATTAAATGTTCTATGTTTTACCTATCTTTTAAGCCTTAAAATGAGTCCATACAGAAGTAACTGCTGTTATCAGTGTTAGAAAGTTCTGGAAAGTGTGGGTCAGAGAGGTTGTGAATTCCCCAAGCTCCCGAAAGTAGTATGTGGTAGAGCAGTATTCACTTCCAGGTCTCTTGCCCGAGGACTCTGGTCCACGTCTGTTTTCCATTCTTTGCTTTCACTGTCCTCTACTTTTTACCAAGGTCTCCCGCCTGCCATGCAGAAAGTCATGTATAAGGGACTCGTCCCTGAGGATAAGACGTTAAGAGAAATAAAAGTGACCAGCGGGGCCAAGATCATGGTGGTTGGCTCCACGATAAATGATGTTTTAGCAGTCAACACGCCCAAAGATGCTGCGCAGCAGGATGCAAAGGCCGAGGAGAACAGGAAGGAGCCTCTCTGCAGGCAGAAAGTGAGTCTGTCGTGTGATCGTTCGTCCTGGGGAGTGTGAGGCTTTGTCCTCTCGAGCCTAGGCTGGTCATATCCTCCCTAGAATAAGCTCCTTTTCGGACAGGGCCCATGATGGAAATTTATGGCAGCAGTTGGGTGCGGCTGGCTGTTGAGTGGAGGTGACAACTACCTGAGATTTGCAACTTTGTCTCATCTGGCGGGTCAGTGTGTCTAAAGTCTACCTACTTTAGGATAAGGCCTTTGTAAAGGCAGCCTTCAGTTAGGTATGGAAAGGAATCTGCTGTGGGTTGCTCTCCTATCAGTCCAAAGAAAAATGGCACTACTAGCATTATTCCCCCATTTTGTACAAGTCCTTCATTTGTTTTTTGGTTCGTGGCTTCCCCCAAGTCAACAAGCCCGTTTCTGGATAGGCATGGGAATCAAGAGCTTCCAAAGGTTCTTCTAAAACTGTTTCTGGAAGCCAAGTGAAGCTGACTAGGAAGATAACTACACTGATTTTTTTTTTTCCTTCCTGGTCGATGAAATGGGGGCCTGATTTTTCACATTCTCTGTTGCTCATTTTGGATGGAAGAGATCTAGCCTTGTCTTATGTTCGTTGCAGCCATAAAAACTATTTTACTGTGGAAGGAACTGGTTGGAAGAACCATCACTTGCCATTTTGTCACCCGGCAAATCCTGCTCGTTGTTAGGAACCCTGCTGGCCACTCTTAGTAGTGTTCTAGGAAAATAGGTATTCTCAGCCTAACCAGTGTCCTGAGCAGAGTGGACCCACATGAACCACCGTCAGTGTTAGTTAACATAGGCACCAAAGCATGTGGCTGACAGTGTAAGAAGGACACAAGTGTGTTACAGATCCATAATCCCTTATGTGTGCTTCCAAAACCTAAAAAGAGTTTGACAGCCAAGTGTTTTTGTAGATTTGGCAGCAAATCCTGACCAGATTTACTGTGAATATTCATGTTTTGCTGTAGATATACTAATGTGTTTGGTGACAAGGTGCTGCCCCAGACCCCACAAAGGATATTATGTAATATATTTTATTTATTTATTTATTTATTTTGAGGAAGATTAGCCCTGAGCTAACATTTGCTGCCAATCCTCCTCTCCTTGCTGAGGAAGACTGGCCCTGAGCTAACACCTGTGCCCATCTTCCTCTACTTTATACGTGGGACGCCTGCCACAGCATGGCTTTTGCCAAGTGATGTCATGTCTGCACCCGGGATCCGAACCGGCGAACCCCGGGCTGTCGAAGCGGAACGTGTGAACTTAACTGCTGCGCCACCAGGCCGGCCCCATATGTAATATATTTTAAAACTATATTAGATTTGTAAAATCCCTAAAAGTTTTTGACTTTATAAAAAGTCTAGAACTTCTGTCCCATGGGGTATCAGATAAGGGGTTGTAACCCTGTATTAACATTTAAAAGGTGGTTATTTGCACACTTTCAACCCAAAATATGTGGTTATAATGTCTTGTAACCAGTTGAGTTCATTTTCCTTCTCCTCTGCCGCATGTATGCAATTGTCAGATATGAGCGTGTCAGACGTGAGTGATTGTTCCCACTGGTTACACCCTTGGAGCGCAACGTGCCTCTTAAATACAGGTTACTAATGGTAGCTTAGCAGCCTTAGAACTCTTCTCCACGTTGCAGGGAAAATTCTTTAAAAGGTACTTGGGAGATGTGAGTCTAGATATCCTCCTAGTGCATGCTGCTTCTGTTCGCTGATGCCATCGAGGAGGCGTAACATGGCTTAATGAGAGGGACGCGTTTTGCTGGCTTTTCATCAGCTCGTGCAGGAATCTGGGCCTGGTACATAGGGTAACCCTTTGCTCACAGTCTGGCCGTATTGAGTTTGTTCCTACCAGAGGATTTCTGCCATGCTAGTGCGGATTTGAGCTGGCTCACGGCCACCTGGTGCTTAATTCAATTAAATTTTTACCCTCTGTGACTCATTGCCCCATAGTTCTGGCTTTACCCAACAGGACCTATAAAGCCATAGATGGAGAGGAAACAAGACCCAGGCATTTGGGCCAGACTGAGCTGTTTTAGGGGCTGTGAGCTTAAGTAGAACCTTTCATGAGCCGCCTCAAACTCCTGGGGCGGGCGTGGGGTTAGAGACTTCTTAATGTCAGGCTCTCGAGTCATCAGCATTTGTCTTTGGCAATGTGGTTCTTCAAGCTTTCTGTTTAGCTGAGGCTGAGGGTGAGGCAGTGGGGAAGACTTCAGCAATAGACTGAGTCTCCATTTGCTGAAGAAAGGCCCTTCTGGGCAGGCTGATTTACCAGCATCGTTACGGGTTTCTTTGGGAATTTAAGTGGACAGAAATGGCTGTCATTTTGTACCTGCCAGTAGAGCAGCACCCTTTGTGGCTCTCTTTAGCTTGAAGTTTAATCCTTTCATTGGTGGTTTTGCGGGAAGGTCGGTGGGGTGGGAGGTGCGTGGGGTGGGAGGGAAGTAGTGTTCATTTGTCTTAACATTCTAGAAATCCTTTTTGCCCCAGAACTTTGATTTCTAGTATGGTAACCACATGTGGCTGATTAAAATTCAATAAAACTAACAATTCAGTTCCTCAGTCAGAGTAGCCAATTTCATGTGCTTAATAGCCACAAGGGGCTCATGGCTACTGGTTGGGACAGCATATGTATAGAACATTTCCATCATCATGGAAATTTTTGCTGGATAACACTACTCTAGTGTCAAAGGACCCATAATCTGTAGACAGGGAAAGCTTTTGAACCAAAACATTAAGGCTTTCTTCATCCTCTTTTTCAGCGAGCTAGTGACATGACTTAAATGCAGTCAGCTGTTTCATTTAATTATCTCTTCTGACTTACCTTATAGCAACACAGGAAAGTGTTGGATAAAGGAAAACCTGAAGATGTGATGCCATCTGTTAAGGGTGCCCAGGTAAGTCAGAGTCCTTTGTGAGCATTCTGCAAACGAGCCAGGTCCACCCTCTGAGGTTCCTGTGGTCATGTCCTTGCATCCTGTCCCTTCTCCTTTTTCTGTCTTACTTTGTTTCTGGTCCCGCCTTCTCTTACTGTGCCCTTGTGTCTCCAGGAGCGCCTGCCAACGGTACCCTTATCTGGCATGTACAATAAGTCTGGGGGGAAAGTGAGACTCACCTTTAAGCTAGAACAAGACCAGCTGTGGATCGGCACAAAAGGTACGTCGCTGCCCTTATCTCTGCCCGGCTTCTGCCTCTGGCACCCAGCAGCCGTCCGTCTTTGGAGCGGTTCTGCTCCTTCCTCGGAAAGCTCTCTCTCCACTCTGCTTTGCTTGCTCCTGGCTTTTGATTTTGGTTTTCTATGTTCGCCTTTTGTTTGAACCCTTTTCCCTCCTTCTTTTCAGTCTCATTTCAGGGCCATCAAACATTGGCTCTTCAGTTGCGCCCAAAACCAGAGGCCCTAAACCTGTGACCTGAGGGCCAGGTCTGTTCCATAGACAAGGGTTTTATGGGTTTACCCACAATCTGTAAAAATCAGGAGATTTCACCTGATCTGACTTTTTTTTTGGCTTCTCTTGAAAAAAAGTCAAAAGATCTAGCCATTTTGGACCTGCATTCTCACCTGGCAAAGATCAGCTGGAGCCAAGTCGTAGTTCCAGATGGGCCATGCTGCAGTCCTCACTGTCCCTTTTATCTTAGAGGTGGCTGTCTTCCTTCACGTATGTCACCCACCTGGCCCCTGTAGGTCAGAGTTCGCCCCTGTACTGGGTGCAGGTTTCCTAGTACTAGGGACCTACCCCTCCCTCCCTGCCTGATTGCCCTCTGTCTGTCCCCACCCACCCCTGCCTGCGCACGGAGGGTCAGGCTTGCTGTTTGCTGGAATTGCCTCTGCCTGTCTTCCCTCTCCCTCTCCCACATGGTTCAGAGTCTTGTCAGTTACACTCCAGAATTATCTGTGTCCTTTTCTTTGCCACTCTGTTGTGCCAGTTAGCATCTTTAAACTTGGTCTGTTAAAGCAAGTTAACCTATTTCTCTGCCCCATCTATGATCTCTTCTGTCCTACTCATTTTCTGTACTGTTTTTTCCTCCCTGGTTACCATGCTCGAAAACCTTTGGCTCTTTAAGGCCAAGTTCAAATGCCTGAACACTGTCCAGCGTTCTCAACACTGGGCCCCAGTTTAAACTTCTGAACGACCTTCCTGTCCCTCGCCCTGTTGTCCCCTGTGTGTTTCAGCTGCATCACTCCCTGAACTTCCCAACATGCTTTGCACAGCCCCACATCTTTGCTCATGCTGTGCCCTTACCTGGAATGCCTTCTTCCCATTCCTTGTTATTAATAACATCTTCCAAGGCCCTCCTTAAATGTCCTCTCCTAACGAAGCCTTCCGTGGTATCTCCCCTGCCCTCCAAGTGAATTGCTGCTGCTTCTGTTCATCGAGCCCTCCGTCTAGATCCCCAGAGCACTCATTACTCTCTGACTTGTCTGTCCCCCTGTTAGATTCCTGGAGGGAACCGAACATGCCTAATTCACCTGTTTCTGGCCAGCACTGTAGGTATTCAGTGTTTGAGGTAAATGCTAAAGAGAAGTATAGGGGTCCCATCATCTGAGGTTAATTGGTTTCAGGGATAGGCCATTTAGTATGACTCAATTTAAAATGGGAGCAGAGTTTTATGGAAAATAATTGGGCCAGGGGTAATGGGGGTGAGATTTTTGTCATCTAAACTATGAAAATAAGTTTCTTATTTTCAACCCTCTCTTGGTTCTGAAAATGAACAAAGACTGAAATGCCAGTAATGCTTGAGTTTTCTAATACTTTTATGATAACTTGCTGTTTTTCATTTCACATTCCATTCTAACTGCATGGTCAAAGCAAGTTTTGCAAAATATTTAAGGGCTTCCCCAGTTTTTCCAAGAGCCTTTGAACCCGTGAATAGGTCATTCTCTTCTGCAGAGCCTGTCACGTCATCAGTTTTCTTTTAATTGTGAGCTGCCCTGCCTCTGTCAGATCCTCACTTACTCATGACTTTGGAGGTGATCTTGCTTAGTTCTCCATCATTGCATTAACTTGCCGAAACCCTGCCTCTTCCTAGGCTTCTCCGTTCACTTAGGCGGCCTAATTGAAGGCAGTGGTTAGGACTGATCCAGGAGAACACTGAAGGCCGGGAGGATAGGTACAGGCAGTGGAGTCTGGATGAGGACTAAGTCTGTAAGTGCTCGTTGGTTCTCGGGGAATATTTTTGTGTTATGAAGTTGTGTAGGAAACATGTCATGACTGCAGGGACTAATGAGAACCTCCTGTCCCTGTGTTTTGAGGTTTTATTTCAGCTTGTAGGAGCAACTGCCTTCCTGCTTTGGCGTGAAGCTTGAGAAGAATCTTGACATGCTGGGGCTTCAGAGCTGTTGAAAGCCTCCTTATTCATCAGCCTTATTAAAGAGTGTGGCTGTGAACTACTCATGTCTTAAAGGGTTGCCCAAGGCTGAGGCTTTCATTCCCACCCAAACCACTGTACCAGTGTGCCTCAGGCACTCTTTTCCCTGACCCAGGAGTCCTGTCACCCAAGTGTCATAAGCATTTCCTAGGAGGACAGCTTGTTCTGCGAGTTGCCTGCTAGCCGCTGGCTTCATCTTTCTGCTGGCAGGAAGCTGCTGTGGAGTGACCATCCCAGCAGCCAGTTGGCCTCCTGCTCGATGGGGTGCTTTACCCGGTGACACTCAGGGCTCCTATTTGCGGCTTAAACTCTCCCTGTGATAGCTTGTGTAGGAGGCAGTACTGACAGCCTCAGGCCCAACAGAGTGAGAAGAACAGGTTCCAGGCAGGAAGCGTGAACAGGTGACATGTGAAGCTGCCACGGGGCGTGGGTGCCGTGTTTGTAGGGGAGTCGGGGCTTGAATCTAGCTTGTTGCTGCCACTCAGGAATGTGGGCCCAGGATTGTTACATCTTCTGCATCTTCAAGAGAAGCCAGAAATCTATATTTTTGTGTGAAGTCTCTGGACATTTCAATTTCAAGATGGCTGGTGTTTTAAAAAGTTTCCATCTTAAAAACAGCTGCCGGTCAGGTCCTGCCTGTGGGTCACTGTGTTAGAGCCACTGAAAGTCAAAACCTGAATGAACATCTTCAGGTCCATTCTCTCCACCCACAGTCTTCAGAGACTGAGCCCCACAGGACGGAAATAAAATGTCTCAAATCATCAGCCAGACCAGAACCCAGGTCTCTGAATTCTTGGTCTATTTTGTTAACATCTGTTTTCAGATTCTGCCTTTTCCAGATTTCTCTTTCTGCAAAGACTGTAATGAGTTTTTTTTCCAACTTGGTTTAACTTTGCTGAGAGCTTCTCCCCATCCCTGAGGTGTCTGCTACTTCTGGGTGGTGGCTTCCTGTTGCGCAGGCGCTCCCCGCCTCCTGCCGTCATCCCCGATCCCACTGTACTTGGCTCACTTCCAGCATTCTCATCTCCCTCCAGGCATTCCTCGCTGCCGCCTCTTTCTTACCTGCCATCCTTAAACTTCCTGCAAAGTGTCTTCTGACCCCCTGTGATAGTGGTATCTCCAGCATTAATCATAAGAGGTTATCCGTGTTTTAGGAGAAATCCTTTGTGTGTGTATTTGGAGGGGTGGGGGACCAGGGGAGGGACTGAGGGTGGGAGGGCACGTGAGCAAGATCCTGGGATAGAAACTGCTCATAAAGCCCTGGCGTTCCCCCTTCCTGTGAGAGCCCCAGGGGTGTGCTCTTGCCTCTGTGTCCTTGTCCTCTTGCCTCCTATGTACCAAAGGCCTTAGCCAGTCCTGGGCTTGGGCAGTAAAGGTGCAGTGGAATTGTTTGGGTATTTATTAATCATCAGACTTTAAAAAATAACGCCGGGAAAGATACATCTCTCCTCTCAGAGGCCTTTAAGATCCCATTGCCAAGTCCTGTTCCCCGTTTGCTCCTGAGAAGTCCAGCTCCCAGGCAGGGCTCTGGGGGAACTGATCAGAAAATCCTACCCCATCGTCCCCAGAGGGCATAGGTGACTTGTGTTTACAGTTGATCCCCAAAGCCACCAACCCTGACGAGAGACTACTTAGTCACAGGAGGAGAACAGGAGGGCCTTTGAATAATCATTGTAATCCCTTTCAACTTAGAGCGGACTGAGAAATTGCCCATGGGCTCCATTAAAAATGTGGTCAGTGAACCTATCGAAGGACACGAGGACTACCACATGATGGTAAGTAGGCGTGTGGTGCAGCCTCTCACTAGACTCCTGCTTCTGCTCCTCGGGCAGGGAATGGATTTTTAACTGAGGAGAAAACTCAGTATATGGAAGATGCACGGTTTTAAAACCCTCATGTTTTCTTCATCTACTTAGAACTTAGTTCATGACCTATTTATTCCTCGTTCTGTTTATTTTGCACCCCCCCGCCTTGCAGTTTAAAGGGGATGTGTTTTATCCCTTTGCCTCCCTCTTATTTGTAATATTTTGTTTTTAGACCAGGAAAATAAATATAAAGAGGAGGAATGGCTTGTGGGTTTTCATTTTAACTTTTGTCTTGCTTTGTATAAAACAAAACCTCCCACTGGCCTTGGCATTTGTGTGGACACCAGCAGTCCCCTTCTGTGATGGGCAGCCGTCGAGTAGCCAAGGACCCTGTGGGAAGGACAGAGCCTGCTCTAATGAGGGTGGGCTGCCGTTTCCTGAGACGGACTGTTTGGGGGCATTCCCTGCAGCTGTGTAGAACAAGGCCAAGGATCCAGTGATCTGACGAGCTGAGCAGCTTAGGCAAACCCCTTCAATTTTCCCAGCACTATTTGGAGGGAGCACTTTAAGAATGAAGTTTAGCTACGTAAACTCCCAGGTTGCTATGACAGGGACCTGACCTGAGCAGTAATAGGGTGAGGGCAGGGCTGCCTGCCATTCTTCATCGGAGGAGGCAGATTTTTCAGTGTCCAGCTGATGGTGATGCAGCCATGTCGGCCCCATCCCAGGGAGAAGGAACAGCTAGTGGTTTGACCTGGGGGTCACTGTTACAGAGTCCACGGCAGAGGGAGGTATTGGAAGATTCCAGGAAAAGGAGATCTAGCATCATGGCCGTTCTCTCTGGACAGATAGCAGATCCCCTGGCTCTAGGAAAAGTCACTCAGTCAGTCCTGTCCCCTTTCCTGCCTCGTTGGTGTCTTTCAGCTCAGAGGTGCTGCAGCAAGGCATGGGTGGGATTGTAGTCCTTGGGCCGCGAGCTCCTGGGGTGTCGTCCTGGGAGCGGTGACATTGCCACAGGGGCGGCTTTCAGGCCTCTGGCAGCCCAGCCGCCCCTGGTCTCTGTAGTCTTTAAAGGATTGCACATGGATTTGTTTTGCCTACTCAAGTATTTTTTCCGTTTTAAAAGTTGGATTTTAATATTTTCAAGCTGGGCCCTTTCACTTCCTTTCGAAACATTCGTTTTTCCAGTTTGGCCGTGTAGGGTTTGCAAACCCCAGTTCTCAAAGCATGCTGGTGAGAGGAATTTCAGACAAGTCAAGTGGACATCTTTTAAGGAATTGGTGTGGCTGGGTAATGCCTTAGTGTTTAGTTTAGATCCTCGTTTCTCTCTCGAGTCGTTGCTGGCAGAGGGTGGTTCTCAGAGCCCCTTCTCTTTTCTAAACACCATGAAGCAGCACCTCTACCTGTCTCCTAATGAAAGTGTTTATTTCCCTCTTTCTGCAGATGCCATTTCACTAGCTAGATTCATGTATCACGGTTCACATTAGAAAGGGGTGGCTGTGCTTTTTCCTTTTTAGAGAAACTTTTAAAAATAGAGGAAAGAACAGAGAATACTCTAACAAACCCATATATCCATCACCAAGAAATGACAATTGTAAAAATCTTGTAACTTGCTTTAAATCTTTCTTTAAATAAAAGCAATCAAATTTACCAGCAGTGAATACCTCCCCCTTGTCTTCCCCTCCCCCAGTACCATTATCAGTATTTGTCATGTGGATCCTTCCCATCTCTATGCTTTATTTCCATATATATCCATGAACAAGATACAGTATTGTTTTGTGTTTTTTCAGTTTTCATAAATGGTCTCCTGGTATGTATCGTTCTGTAGCTTGCCTTTTTTGGTTCAACATTATGATCTGTTTATATTCACTATAGATCCACTTCATACCTGTTGAAAGTGATCCAGTGTTCGTATGAATGGGCCATGTCACCTTTCATTTTGTGTTCCCTTACTGATGGATATGTAGGTTGTTTCCAGGGTTTTATCGTTTCTGACCGTACTGCTTTGAACATTCGTATCTGTTTCCTTGTGCATGTGTGACAGTTTTTCTAGGGCAGTGGTTCTCAAACTGGTCTCTGGATCAGCAGTAGTCTATCACCTGGGAACTTGTTAGAAATGCAGATTCTCAGGCCCCACCCCAGACCTCAAATCAGAAAGTCTGAGGGGTGGAGCCCATCTGTCTGTTCTAACAAGCCCTCCAGATGGTTCCACTGTGCTCTTGAGTTTGGGAACCGCTGCTTTAGGGTCGGCTATGCTTCTCTCTCCCACCTGCTTTTTTTTTGGCAGGAGAATGCTCCCCGTGTGCACAGTTTTGTTCCCTTTCCTTTTAAATTACTTCACCTGTCTGCCCTCCCCCGTGTTTGTTGTGCTGCCTGCATAGTCTCCCGACCTCTGAAGTACCGCTTGGTTTTCCTTTTTCCCTTCCAGGCGTTTCAGTTGGGCCCCACGGAAGCCTCTTACTACTGGGTGTACTGGGTTCCAACTCAATATGTGGATGCAATCAAAGACACTGTGCTGGGGAAATGGCAGTATTTTTGAAAGCACTTTCACCTCTGGCCCAGGAGACTGACCCAAAGTGAAGGACATTGCTGGGAGAGGCCTGCAGCATCCCTGGATTTCAGAGTTCTGGAACTTTGTTCAAAAAAAACCTATTTCCAATCTAAGGCGATGTGGTGACTGAAGCCAGAGGTGATGTACTTTCACCATTAGCTTAATTTTAACTTAAAATCACCGGTTCCCTTTCTTGCAGTCAGCTTCATACCATTTTTAAAGTCAATACAGTGGAAATCAATAAATCTGAATTCCGAACATGTTGTGTGGAATACTCAAGTGTGTTTGAGAGTAGATCTGCCAATTTTGTTTAGAAAGGATTGATCAAAAGCTTTCTGATTTCTTTTTTTTTTTTTAAGTGATTTCACCTGAAATATTTTCACAACTCTGGTTGCAAACGTTTGGACTGCTTTGTGATGAGTTGGGGTGTTTTTCTTTTTCATATAAAATTGTATGCAAAATGGGGGGGTTAGTAAGCCATATTTTTCTGTCTATTGATTCAGATGGAATTCTTTCCCTTTTTTATTTTCTCACTTCCTAGATTTGAGTTTGTGTTTTAAAAACCCAAAGATGGCAGTTCCTCTTTTTGTACCTCATCGATGCTTCCTTTCCTGGCTCTCTCCCACCGTGCTGCTGCTCGTGAACGCATGGTGGGAGAGGAAGAGCTGTTTGGTGTAGGTCAGGGAGCGCTCACACTTGCTGTGGTGTTTGTTGAGCAGCAGAGTCTCTCACAGTGACTCCCCTCTAAACGTCTTGCCCTTTCTTTGGGCCTTGATCTCTGGGGAGTTCCACTGCTGGCTTGATGGTACCTGCAGCCCTCACTGATTTGGCTTTGAGGCCCAGCCTGGCATGGGTGTGCCTGGGCTGTGCTGCTCAAAAGCCACAGCTCCCAGGCCGACAAAGCCCTCTTTGAGAAGGAGCCAGGTGGAAGACAGTTTATACAGCCATATAGCCACAGACCCAAATCCTTTTTCTTTCGAAGTTTCAAGAAATTCTTAAGCAGTCCACTGATGAATTCAATTATGCTTCTCCATGTGGTCCTTCTGCTCATGCATTATGTTCAAGTGTCCTTCATCCCAGGTTCAGAGATGCTGCCTTTCTCGATAAGAAGACATCTGACCTAGTGGGTTGGCCGATGTATTTAAACATCGCAAATGGGTAAATTGCTCTCGTGATTAGCTCACCCTCTTCTGGTTTTAGCCCTTACGTATTTGTACACGTGAACTTCTCTTGTCTCCTCATGACTTGATTGACTCTGAAATGGGGGAAAGTCTCTTGGTGAATGGTATCCTTTGTGCTCTTTGCTGTTTCTCTGCTGCTGTCTTTGCAATTCTCCTCTCACTGGTTGCAGGCTCTCATAGTAAGGTTTGGCGAGAGATTTTCCAAACTTCACATTTTGGATTCTTGGCTGTTTACCCTTCATTCTGTGAAATGTATTAGCATGTGTTCACCTAAGATGACTACTCCTTGTGAGCCAGTGAATGATGATATTCTATACCCTTCCCTTGTAAGCTGTAGTTCAGGAATCCAGCCCATATAGACAGACTCATGCTTTTTATGATGTAGTCAATGCCAAGTTATGCATCTGGGCAGGAAAATCTACTCTTTGCTCTCTTTGGGGGTGTAAGTACGTATGTGAAGTGTAGCACTCCAGTTGTTTTCACCCCTTGAAGAAGGAGCGGTAACTGGCGTCTCTGTCCTTGTTGGCCTGCAGTTGTTTCTTTGCTCCTTGTCAGAGCCTCCCTCTGCAGCTGACGAGTCTACAGAGGAAACTGTCACGTAGCAAGCAGAGCATCGTCTCCATTGGAATACTGCCCTTTTTGTTGGCCAGCATCCCTGTCCTGGAGACTTGTCCTGACAGTGCCACACACCCACTTTTGTTCTCGAAGCAGGCGTCTCTGTCCCCAGACTGGCCTCGCAGTGCTGCTCTCTGAGGTCCCTCCCGCCAGGTCTCCTCATCTGCCCCGTCCCTGTGGCTACTGGCGCTAGTGACACCCCGCCCTCCCCGTGAGGACACGTGTTCTGTAGTCTCCCCGCTCCCCAGGGGCCAAGCCGCTTCTCGCTCAGGCTGGCGTCATTTCAGGATAGGACCAAAGCCTGTGTGAGCCTTGTTAATTTTAAGTAAAATGGTGCTTTTTTCCTTACTTGGAGATATTATATATAAATAATAATGTAAATGACATCTTTTCGTACAGAGCTGTTTGAGTATTGCTTTACAGAGCTCACTAAATCTACCACAACAATCTCGAGCTCTGGCTCCTGACCCTGTCTGCATGGAGACCTTGCTGGAAGCCCTCAGGAGAGCAGAGGTGGACAGCACTGGGAGAAGTATTTGAGTTGGATCTGTGTCTGGGTCACAGCGGTATTCACTCTTTCGTCCCTAGGTCCCGTGAACGGTCTCTTCTATTTTTCTTACGGTCCAGAATGTACTGACTCAATCTCTGTTAGCAAATTGAAGTACTCTTCCCCTTAGGTAGCTTCACAGTGTTAAGTTTTCATCGGGATCCTTTCTGTACAGTCTCGTCACTGTCCGAGGGGACTGGTTCTTTCCCTGGGGTGGGGACCCTAAAGGGAAAGCTGGTTGCGAGAGGGGCTCCAGCGCGCAGGAAGTAGGCTAGGGGCTTGCCATCTCTTCCAGGTGGAATGCCTCTCTGAGCCTCCTGATGGGCTGCTTTCTCTCCTAGAATTTGTGCTGGTGGTCCTCCTGCAGGTCTTTGCGCACAGACATCATGCCTTCCTTTCCCTCCCTGAGGCGACTTGGCAGAATAGTGACAGGAGAATCCCTGCTGAGGCCCGGTCCCTCTCAGCTCTGTTTCGGTCAGCCTAGTCAGAGAACTCAGACTCCTGAGTTGCTGGAACTCTCTAGTATGAAGTATTTTAATTGATGATGGGCCTTTTGCAGGTAGCATTAGCTCTTTTTCAATGAAGTCAGACTGAGCTAAGGACGCACTTTCCTGTCATCTCGTGGATGCAGTAGGGCCATGAGGCCTCAGGAGGCTCCTTAGTTGCTGCTTTAACCCTATGAGGGCCAAAGAGACTAACTTTGCCACATTGCCACGTCTCTGAAAAGTTGCCATATTTCAGCCAGAGGGGCTTGCTTTCCCCTTCCTCTCACTTCAACCATGTGCCTGGAGGAGCCTTCCTGGGCTCTCGCACTTGGCCTACCCTTTCTGTCGGGGCAGAGAAGGGAAAGAGATAGACTCTGTGTGCCAAGGGCCGTGCAAGGGCAGGCTTGCTTTCCACCCCTTCTTCGGAGGGAGACCTCTTTCTCTCGCTTCATGCCTCATGCCTGTTGTCTTGGAAAAGAGCTTTGAGATTGTCATCTCCAGTTAAGATTGGCACCTGTTTCCTTCTTAATGGGGCCTGGTGGCCTTTCTGAAGTCAGGGTGGTCAGGAGCCCTCTGATGTGCAGAACATCTGGTACATCAACCTGCCAGGCTGGGTGGTTCTACTGCTTTCTCAATTTCTAAGAACCTCTCTCTTTTTCTTAAAGAGTTCTGCAGAATTATTTGACAATGTATGTAAGTACCATGTTTCCTTGTGGTGTACGCTCTGTTCTGGTTTTTGTTTTTAAATCAAATGCCTGTTTGGGAGGAGATGAACGTACTTAGTCTATTAGATTTGCGCTGCTGGATTTTTTTTAAAGTGTAACCTTGACTAGCTGTCTTATTGTTTATCCTGTAAGATTAGTCTGTCAATTAAAATTTGATAATTAATTGCGTCTCTTTTTCCTTCCAATTCTTCATGCGCCTGATCTGTCCTGGGGAATTGACCAATAATTGGAACTGCGCCAAGACATTTTTTTTTTTTTTTGCCGGCCATGGTCTACCCTGTTACTGTCTTATTTATTTGGTTTTAAGTACATCCAGATTTGTTCCTGCTGAACACAGTTGATAAAGGGAGTTGATTTTCTTTACTCTGTATTAGTCAAAGTGGCCAGCTTGGCAGTCAGCCACACTCCTGCTGGGGCAGCCCTCCCTCGCCTGCCTGGCCTTCCGCCTCCCAACTAGTGCCTCATGTGCCCTCACCTGACCATTTGGCCTTTGAGGACAAGTTTGATAGAACATTGGGTTGGGGCTGCAGCTCTAGCTTTGAGCTACAAAGACCCAGGAGGATCAAGGGAGAAGATCTGTTACCAACAATGAGACAGAAACAGAATCCTTGGCACAGGGAGTAATTTGTCAGAACTGGTTTTGACCCAGCACCACTCCCTTTGGACCCTCTCTCCTCCCCCTGCTTTGTAAATGTTCTGAAGGTCTGGTCTCACTGCCCGTTCCTGGCTCCTTTCTGTTTTTCCAATACCTCATAGGCCTGGAGCAGCTTCCTAGGGGTCTGACTGTTTGTGGGGGAGAGGGATGGGTGGGACTGTGCCACATGCTGTACCGTAGCTGAGAGCCACCTAGGGAATCTTCCTTCTGCACAGAGGATACTTCTGGATTTTATCCCAAGTCTGAACTGTTATTTCAGTCACCTTAAAATGAATAGGGTGCTTGACTCTCCTCAGATGGAGAATGAGATAACTCCAATCTTACCCTACCTTTGGGGGAGATATGGCATTTTCTCGATTACAGGTAACAGAACCCTTCTACAACAGGGACCCCACAAACAGCACAGTCATTAGGGCAACAGGCAACAGCTTCTCCTCCTCCTTTCCCCGGAGGCTGCTGTTGAGCCCCTCCATGCTGTGGGGAGTGGCACGCTTCCTTAGCGGCTGTCAGCCGGGATTAACCTCTGGCCTTTCCTAGTTGATTAAGGCTATTTTTGTTCTGAAGCCTTGTTAGCCTATCTTACTCTCCTCACAGAACTTTTCCTTACTATTCACCCCATTTTTTAGCTCCTTATTTTCAAGTTTCTTGCTTCTGTTTTACTCCTTTCCCCTCGTCTGCTTTTAATCCCTTGCTGTTTTCCCTTTTTTTGTTTTGGAAATTTTCAAACCTACAGAAACCTGAAATATGCTATGGTGACCACCTTATACTTTTCACCTAGCTGCACAAGTCATGAAAATATCGACTCCGCTTGCTTTCTCTAGAGACACACTATTTTGCTGAAAATTTGACAGATGCAGACATCATGACACTTCACCTGTGAATATTGGAGAACACCTCTGCTAAGAATAAGGACATGGTTACACCTTTGCACAGCACCATTGTCTCACCTGAGGAAATTAATATCAATTCAGTAATATCTAATATACAGACCAAAATACCTTCTAGAGCTATTTTTTCCAATTAGTAATCCTTATGTTTCTAACTCTCTATTCTAGCCTTGTAATTTTTTTTCTTTTTTCTTTTTTCTTTCTGCTTTTTTCCCCCAAATCCCCCCAGTACATAGTTGTATATTTTAGTTGTGGGTCCTTCTAGTTGTGGCACGTGGGATGACACCTCAGCATGGCCTGATGAGTGGTGCCATGTCCGCACCAAGGATCCAAACCAGTGAAACCCTGGGCCGCCGCAATGGAGCGCGCGAACTTAACCACTCGGCCAGGGGGCCGGCCCCTAGCCTTGTAACTTTTTTATACCCTTTTAACTTCTCTGTTGTAACTAGTCTTGGCTTTTTTCTCTCTCCTTAAAGAAAACTCATTTCCCCCCATGTCTTTTTTATCTTAATATTCATTATGACCCCTACTCTCTTCTCCTTCCTTTCCCATCCTGAGTCTTGTTAGTTTGTGTTCTGGGTTTATCATGGCCGCTGGAGCTGTGGTTCGGGAGGAGCTGTCAGGGAACTCGCACCCCAGAGGGCACGGTCCTCTTGTCCACTGATCCCTCGGGCTCCGCTCCCATATCTAAGGCTAAGACTTATAGCTCCATGGGTCCACGACTCAGGCCTCTTGGCTCTTGGTGACAAATCCGATTCCCATGACTTCAGCAAGGGATTTGGCTCATGTAACTAGAAAATCCAGAGGGTCAGACCTAGGCTTGATACAGGTGCTCAAGTTGGGTCGTCAGACACCTGACCCTCTAACTCTTGGCTCTGCTTTGTTCTCTGTTGACTTAGATTCTACCAGACTAGCAACCCCAAGGGAAAGAGAATTTCTTTCTTCCCCAAGAGTTCTAGTAAAAGTACCAGCTAGAGCTCGTATTGGCTTGTTACCCCTGCCCTCTGCAAACACACAAACATGATAACCACTAGCATCTAAGACGTGCACTAGCTGACTTCCATTCATTGTGAGTCTGGGGCTTTCAGGCCAACACTCCAGCCTATAGATAACAGCAGCTTTGGCAGACCACCTAGCAGTGTTTTGACCTCTTGCTATGTGCGAGGTACATGCTACTTGGAAAGGACCCACTCTAGAGCTCCAGCTTTTTGTGGAGAATGGTTACCTTCTCTGGATGTTCTTTCCATGAGGTACTTGCTCCACCACTGCCTTCAGGTCCTATAAGATTAGCTCCTTTTTTGTTTTTTAATTTTTTTTTTCTGAGGAAGATTAGCCCGGAGCTAATCTCTGCTGCCAATCCTCCTCTTTTTGCTTGGGAAGACTGGCCCTGAGCTAACATCCGTGCCCATCATCCTCTACTTTATATGTGGGACGCCTACCACAGCATGGCTTGCCACGCGGTGCCATGTCTGCACCTGGGATCTGAACCAGCTAACTCCGGGCCACGGAAGCAGAACCTGCGCACTTAATCACTATGCCACTGGGCCGGCCCAATATTAGCTCCTTCCCTGAGTCTTACCATGTGCCAGGCCCTGGGTCAGATTATGTTATGTGCATTATATCGTCAGTACTCCACCACATCCCTCTTGTCACCCCCACTTTACCCATTAGATGGAATTTAGGCTTAGAGAAGTCAAGTGACTTAGTCAAGGTCATATGCCTAACAGTCACTGAGCCTCCACTTCAGAATTCAGATTTGCTTGATGTTAAAGTCTGTGCTCTTAGATACTCATCTTGTTGAGAACTTAGGAAAGAACTCAGCTACTTTTTTTTTTTTTTGCTTTCATATTTTTTCTTCTCTCTCTGGTTTAGCTATATGTCTTAGGGTCACTAGCTTGTGTTTGTGAGTTGTTTTCTTAAACGTTGAACCATGACATTTGCTTACTTGGCTACCATGTAAAAACTTAAGACAGTAATACATGCACTTGATAAAGAAATTTCAAGTGATAGGTAAGTTGCTCAGTTCTCCTAGCTTCTCAGCCCCAGCTCTGATCCACTCCTTAGGGAAGTAGAATTCACTTTAGGCTTAAGCACTAAGGGTCCATCCCAGGAGGAGCGGGTCAGTCATTCCCACATATCCCTTGTAGGGTGGGGATGGGGGGCGGGGCATGGGCAGTGGGATTCTTCAGTGGGAACTTGGCAGCGGGAGGGAGCCAGCATAGGTGAAGCACCTTGCATACTCAGACTCCAGCTTCATGGCTCCAGGTGGGCATTTTTCTTGAGTTCTTGCTCATATCTGTCATCTGCTTGGTATCCCAAAACAAATCCAACATACTCCAAACTGAAATTATATCCCCCTTCAGTCTGATCCTCCTCTCGCCCCTATTTCAGATGGCAGCTCACCACACAGTAGCCCAAGTCCCACCTGAGAGGGATCCTAGACTCATTTCCTTCATCTGACCAAGTACTGCCATTTTTCTTTCCAGAATATCTTTCCAATCCTTCTCTCTTTATTCCAACCTCCAATTCTACATGTTTCTCTTGGCTCTTCCAGTAACCACGAGGTTCATCGCCTCCAATCCACCCTTTGCTTAGTCACCAGCAACTGATCCTCAAGTACATCCGACCTGGCTGTCCCCTGCAGAAAGTCCTGCTGCCCCCACTGCCGGCAAGCTCCTTAACCAGATGTAAGGCCCTCCTTCGTGACCTGCTCCCAGCTGCTCTCTAACCACAGGCCACCCCTCCTCCTTTTGCATACGCTTATCTTCCTGGAATCCGTGTCTCCTGCCCTTTCCACGTAGCTGACCCCTGCAGAGCCTTAGAAACTGCGCAGGCTCCACTGCCCCTTCCCGCCTTCACAGGCAGCAGCTCCTCAGCTTCTGCTGGACTGTGCCCAGTTTTCACATACTTTTAATGTTACTTTTATTTTTCTATTATTACACAGTTCATGGTATTTATAATTTAGAAAATACTGATTAACAGAATAAGCTGATGTATTTCTACCATATCATGGTAATCATTAACTTTTCGGTATGTATTTTATAGAAATGGGATCATGCTGTTTATAATCTGTTTTCACTTAAAACACCACTCTTTCCGTGTCATTGTGTAAAACTCTCTAACCAATCTCAGATTGTTGAATATCCAGTTGTGTGCCATCAATATACTTTTGGTTACATGTATCATGTTGAATTTTCTCCCTTTCTGTTTTGACAAATTTCAAACAGAATATCTGGAAGAATAGTCCAATGAACACACATATACCTGTCACCTAGTCGCAAGTTGTTGACCTTTTGTTACTATTTTTTCCTGAACTTTCGATGGTCAACTGCAGACATCTCGATGCTTCACTCCTATGTATCTCCTTAGAACAAGGCTAGTCAAACCACTGCGTGATACTGTTATCGTACCTAAGAAGTTTGACATTGTGTTATCACCTGTATAAAGTCCAATTGTCCCCAAAATGTCTTTTATATTTTTTTCCCCAAAGCTTTCATGCTTCACGTCCCATGAAATTGACATGTCTCTGGTCTCCTTTAATTTATAAGTTATCCTGTCCTTTTTTCCCATGACATTGGTTTTTTAAAGTTCCACCTTCTTGATTTGTTTCCTCATGATCAGATTCAGGTTAAACGATTCCAGCAAGAATTACCTTAGTTAGAGGTGACATGTTCTCACTTCATCACATCAGGAGCAGCACGATGCTTGTGGCATTATTAGTGATGCTGAATGTGACACATCACTTGGCTTTTAACTGTCTTTCTAACTGGATGGTGAGCTCCTTCAGAGCTGTACACTCAGGCCCCCCCCAGGGGAGTGCGCTGCACACACGGTGGGCACTTTATAATTGTTTTGTTGAGTGAAGGAGTGTACTTGCTATTTGGGGGACACAATGAGAAGAGTGTTGTGTCTCAACTGGAGATTGGGCTGAGGCTTCACAACCACCCTCCCACGGAGGGAACTGCCTAACAAACACATACAGATCCTCGAAGGCATTTGTGGAAGGCCATTAAAACTGCAGTAGTCCCCGCTTAGCTGTGATTTCACTTTCTGCAGTTTCGGTTACCCATGGTCAACTATGGTCTGAAAATATTAAATGGAAAATTCCAGAAATAAACAATTCAGAAGTCTTAAATTGCCGCCTTTCTGAGTAGTGTGATGAAATACGCCATCCTCCTCTGTCCCACCCAAGCCATGAATCATCCCTTTGTCTAGCGTGTCTACACTGCCTGCCCATTAGTAACTTACTAGCCATCTTGGTTATCAGATCCACTGTTTGGTATCACAGTGCTTGTGTTCAAGTAACCCTTATTTTACTTAACAATGGCCCCAAAGTGCAAGACTGGTGATGCTGGCAATTCAGATATGCCAGAGAAGCCATAAAGTGCTTCCCTTAAGTGAGAAGGTGAAAGTTCTCAATAAGAAAAAAAGTCATATGCTGAGGTTGCTAAGATCTATGGTAACTTTTATTACAGTATATTATAATTATTGTTAATCTCTTACTGTGCCTAATTTATAAAGTAAACTTTATCAGAGGTATGTATGTATAGGAAAAAACAGAGTAGCTATCCGTGGTTTCAGGCATCCACTGGGGGTCTTGGCACATATCCCGAGAAGCAGGGACATACGCAATCCCATTTATTCTGTTCTAATTCACACACACTTTGGAATGCTACATTTGGCCAGTGCGCTGCCTATTTATAGTGGCACACAGGTCTCAAAGAACATTGCAGCAATTTCTTAGAGCAGAAAGGCCTCTGCTGTTGTTTGAACACCCAGATCCTAAATAGTATTACCAGAGAATTATCTGTGTGTGATAATTCAGTGAATTTTTCTCCTTCTTGCTCCTTTGGGACTTACCAGCTATAGAATGATGTGAGTGAGCCATTTCACAGCACGTGCATGGTGAAGATGTGAGCAAAGCAATCCTTTTAGTGGCAGTACTGCTAGATTTCATGATCTTAGGCAGAAACAACCACAGATGCATTTTTTGGGAAAACGTGCAGCTGCCTTGGGGATTAAAATAGCCAGAAGAACAAATTACCCCAGATGTTAAATTAAAGGTACATTCCAATCAAAGGAGTCACATGTAGCCTGTTTTGTTCCCTATTGGATCTGCAGTGCCTAATAAGCACTCAAGCTATTTGTTGAATAAATGCAGTTGTAAAAAACAACGAAGCTCCTTATGCTCCAATGTTGCAGTTTTCCAAGAATACCTTAAGTATTAAAAAAGGTGCAGCATAATAACGAATGCTTCCTATTACTGAGAAAGGAGGCAAGTACGTCTGCCTAATATGCCTCCAGTAATTCTAGAGTGACACAGAAGGAACTGGCAACATGAGGTACTCCCGGCAGGGAAGCAGGTGTGCGTGTGGACCCAATCCCAGACCAGACTCCACAGTCCTTCTGCAGCCTCATCCCTCAGCCATTAGATTCTCTGCCGTCCCTCCACCTCTGACACTACTTCCTATTAGCCCTTGGTCCCCTCCCTCCTACAAACTAGAAGTTTCGGTAAAAGAGCAATTACTTTATGACAGATCTCTCAAACTAAATCTCATCAAGAGCTAAGCAACTGCCTCCATCAACCCCAAGGACCTAACAGTGCCAAGAATAAAAGGACAGAGTTTATAGTGATGCATGACAAAGGGATACAATGTCAAACTGACCTTCCAGGAGGAAAGAGAACATTCTGTCCTCCAACATTATTATATTCTACTAATTTGGAAAGGATCCTTAGGACAGGATGAAAATTTAGTCCCGCGTGCTGGTGTCAGCTGATAAGCTGATGATAAACTAATGAAGAAACAAAAATTTTTTTTGAGGCAAAAGGTCCTTTTATCACTATCATTCATTCCTTATGCTGAAGGCGATGGGAGAGAAACGTAAGTACATGCTGGAAAAGTCAGATATTTCTGATATGCATGAATACCAATGACAAGATAAATCTTTAAAAATATTAAGCAGTGTCAATATAAAAACTATAGACAAAAACTGAAAAACTGAAGATTGAGAAAAATGTTGGTTTTATAGATTTATTTTCAAAGGGCAAAAACACTTAGACAATTTAAATACAAGTCTAAACAGAATTACTCTGTCAAAGTCAGCAGTCATGCCAAAATGTGCTCTCACTTTCCGACACTCGCCAGTATCTTCTGAGTGTTCTCTCAGGGAAGAAAAGGGGTCTGGCAAAGACAAAATAAGTTCAGCGATTCTTTTTGGTGTATTGTTATTGACTTTAAATGACGATCTTCAAGGTGCTAAATCCAAGGTAACTAGAGTTACAGACACTAATACAATGTTTTATATAAAAAGTCTTATCACTTGATTATTCTAGAGCCTAAACAACAATAGCTAATATTTACTGAGAGCCTTCTTTACCACCGTGCATTGTTCTAAGTGATTTACATACACTATTCACTTTTACCTTCACAAATGCCCAATAGGTCCTGTCATTATCCCCATTTTACACATGAGGAAACTGAGGCTTACAGAGGCTAGGCAACCTCCCCAAGATCACCAGGCTTACAGAAGGTGGCAGAGCTGAGAACAAACTCAGGTGTCTGACTCGAGTCCATCCTTTTACCCATGAGGCCTCTCCTATCTAATTTAGAGCCAGGCCATCTCTGCTCCCTAGATAGGCCTTGGGTGGGTAACTGAGGGTGAGGGAGGGAGAGGTCTCTGCTTCTGGGTTACCTAGCTCAGTTTTTTTGTACAAGACTGTTTTTATGAGGAGGGCTGATAATCAAGGGAGCCTTGTCCAGCAGTGAACTGCTCTCAACACCTCTGGAGGATAAAGTTGATCACAAGGGCTGACTGGTGGCAGAAGGGGCTTGCATTTTATAACCAGTGAAAATCTGTCAAGTATTCCCATTTTTCCATTTCTTCCTGAGTCCTGCTTTATTGAAGAACCACAGATAGATTAATTCTATGGGAGAACATCATTCTTTAAGTCAAATTATTTACCTGATATTTTATTCATAGACATCCTTCTTATCTGCAATGTAATCTACAATTTCTTGTGGACACATTAACTTTTCCGCATCTACATCAGGAATTTCAAACCCTAAAAGTAAAATTTACAACAATGTATGAGTATAGAAAGAGCAACTCCTTTAGAAGTGTATCAGTATACCACGCACATGTATATTAAAAATTTCCAGCAACCTTAAATCCCATTTAAGTTGTGAGACGGTAATGTTCTAGACAATACGTATATCATATTGGGCATAATGGCTGGGTTTTTTTTAAAGATATAATTAACATAATAGAAAATTCACCCATTTAAAGTGTAAGATTCAGTGGTTTTTAGTATATTCACAAGGTGATGCAACCGTTACCATTATCTAATTCTAGAATATTTTTATTACCCCAACAGGAAACCCCAAATCCACCCTGCCCCGAACTAATACCATCCTCCTAGTTACCACAACCTGTGAGGAATTTTAACAAAATTCTGCTCTGTAAAATGGCACAGAAGTCCCTTGGCTTCCTATGCAGGCAATCACCCCCCAAAAATGTGCCCTGGAGCCTTTTAGAGGTCTCATTTGCCTCTAAAACTACTGTCCTGAACAAGGATAACCTCAGAGTGCATGGGAGGCACTGCAGGAAACCAAGGTGTGCACGAATGGTGCAAGGTGTGCACGCATGTGTGCCTGTGTGTGTCCTGAGCACCCCTAGTTACTTCTCTGGGCATTTAGGCCTAGCTCACGAGGGATGCTAAGGTGTCGTCAGCTTCTGCATGCATGAGGCTTTGCCCTTTGTCCTGGAGCCCCACCTCAAGAATCTAAGTCCCAGATTCCCCCAGGCCTTTTCTGGCCACTCAGCCCTCGGTACCACACTGGGCACTCTGGGGACTCTAAGTGCTTTCTAAGTAAGTGCGCTGTCCCTACTGTTTACTTCACCTGATGGTAAGCAGGCATGTACATGTTGGGGGGAGCTACTGTTTCTATTATTAGTTGATTTAAATCCCAATTCAGACTCCCAGCATTTCTTTCATTTTAATCCACCTAAATCAAGAATCACAATATGCAGATCCAAGACGAAGGCTGTGTATGTTACCAAATTCATCCTCCATGGCCATGATAATCTCCACTTGGTCCAAACTGTCTAAGCCCAGGTCTTTCATAAAATGGGAATTTACCGAGAGCTGCAAGAAAGGAACACCAAACACAAAATTTAGTTATGTGAGCACTTGCTTCTCAGGGTAACAATGGTACAATGTCACTTAATCATTACATACATTTTTTTAAAATATAAAGAGGCCATATTTTACATGTAAAGAGCTATAACTAACATTATATATTTAACTTGGGCCAGTATATACTTGGTGTATATGTATGTTGCTTTATATCTTATTTAGCCTTGTTTTGAATTAGTTAATGTATACAAAGCTGATGACTGATTTCACTTTACATATTTTACTGAGATCTTTGATCACCGCTCTGAAGTGACACTGAGTTTGGTTTTTCTTGCTGCCTTACTGACAACAAAGACACTACACCTTAGAAGTGACATACCTCTCCCTCAAGAACAGAGTGGTTATTATCACCCTCCCTTTAATTTAGACCTCAAGATCACCAGGAAGAATTCTTCAAAAACTCACATCAAAACACTGTCCTACCCACACAACAGATTCAATTATTGAAGAAAGGATTCTTTTTTTTTCTTTTTTCTGAGGAAGATTGTCCCTGAGCTAACATTTGTTGCTAATCCTCCTCTTTTTGCTTGAGGAAGATTGTCCCTGAGCTAACATCTGTGCCAGTCTTCCTCTGTTTGTATGTTGGACGCTGCCACAGCCTGGCTTCATGTGGTGTGTAGGTCCACACCTAGGATCTGAACCCGTAAACCCTGGGCTACCAAAGTGGAGTGTGCGATTTTGTGTGTGTGTGTGTGTGTGTGTGTGTGTGTAAGACTGACCTTGAGCTAACATCTATTGCCAATCTTACTCTATTTTATGTGGGAGGCTGCCACAGTGTGGCTTGATGAGCAGTGCTAGGCCCGTGCCCAGGATCCAAACCTGTGAGTTCTGGGCCGCCTACGTGGAGCACACAAACTTAACCACTATGTCACCTGGCCAGCCCCAGTGTGCGAACTTAACCACTCCACCACTGGGCCGGCCCCTGAAGTAGGGATTCTTTTATGTACCACTATAAGAAAAATTCCAGGGGCCGGCCCCATGGCCGAGTGGTTAAGTTCATGCACTCCGCTGCGGCGGCCCAGGGTTGCACTGGTTCGGATCCTGGGCACGGACATGGCACTGCTCATCAGGCCACATTGAGGCAGCATCCCACATGCCACAACTAGGAGGACCTGCAACTAAAATATACAACTATGTACAGGAGGTTTGGGGAGATAAAGCAGGAAAAAAAAACAAGATTGGCAACAGTTGTTAGCTGAGGTGCCAATCTTTAAAAAAAATGAAATAATAATAATAAAAAAAAGAAAAATTCCAAGTTTAAAAAGCAAGGTGCAGAGCAGTGTTTACAGTATACTACCACTTGTGTTTTTTTTTTTTTTTTTTTTAAGATTTTATTTTTTCCTTTTTCTCCCCAAAGCCCCCTGGTACATAGTTGTGTATTCTTCGTTGTGGGTTCTTCTAGTTGTGGCATGTGGGACGCTGCCTCAGCGTGGTCCGATGAGCAGTGCCATGTCCGCGCCCAGGATTCGAACCAACGAAACACTGGGCCGCCTGCAGCGGAGCACGCGAACTTAACCACTCGGCCACGGGGCCAGCCCCTACCACTTGTGTTTTTTAAAAAGGGTGGGAAACAGCAGTTACATAGTACACAGAACACACATATACATTCATGTGTCTATACTTCCTTACATAATTATCGAGTATCTTTGGAAAGGTAGACAAGAAGCTGGGGACACTCGCTGTCTTCCAGAAGGGGAACTGGGTGGCTGGAGGCCAGGGAGACTTTTTACTGAGTATCTTTTTGGACCCTTTGAATTTTGTACCATGTGATTAAATATTTATTTAAAGAAAAACCATTTAAACCACATCAATTACCTTTTCTGGGTCAATCTTGTCATAGAGTTTCAAGACGTAAAGAACACGGTCCTTGATTCCCTCTAACGTCAAAGGGGGCAGGTCACTATACTGGCGGCACAGCTGTGTGACTCCATCTGGAACCTAGAGCAAGGGCAGGAAGGAAGGATTGTGGAAGCTAACATGCCTCTAAATAGACACCAGCCTATGGATGTCTGTCCCGAAGCTTTCAGGGCTTCAGAGATCCCACCACATTTGGTTCTAGTTGCGGCTCTTCGGGCCCACTGAGTCCTGGTACTGGGGAGTCTCAGAAGCCCAGCAGCTCAGCAGCAGAAACCGGG